TGTTTGATGGGCGCGGAGGTCGGATCGACGGTCAGCCGGTGAGTGATCACCTGGCGGCTGATGCCTGGCATATCGTCCGGGCCCCACGCGAAGACAACGGCGTACGACCGTAGGACGAGGAGGATGGCGTCTCGTTGGTCCAGGGGGAGTTGCTTTCCGACCCTGAGAACCCGCTCCGGCCGGGAGGTATCCAGAGGGATTTCCTCGACCTCCTCGGCCGGCTCCGCATGTGGCCTCTCCTCGTCCATGGCGACGGCGGCCGTAATGGTGTCTATCCTCTGTCCTTCCCTTTCGGTCGGCCTCGTTAGCTTGAGGTAGCAAGCTCTGGCTATCCTCTGATTTCCTCTGGCGTAGCCGATGCCGTCATTGGTGGGGAACTTCAAGCATAGGTGCTTCATGGAGATGATGGCCTCCAAGTCCTCCAGCGCTGGCCGGCCCAAGATCAGGTTGTGGGCGCACTGGAGGTTGACCACCATGAACTCCATGTCAATTTTGGCGTGGTGGGGGCCGTCACCGACCTCCACGGAGAGGACTATCGTGCCCTCGGCGTCGATAGAGTCCCCGGTGAAGCCGGATAACGGGGTCTTGATCGGCTTCAGCAAAGCTCTGTCCAGCTTCAGCTGTTTGAAGGTGTCCAGGTACATCACGTTGACGGAGCTCCCCGTATCGATGTAAGTACGGTGGATGATGGAGTCACCGATCTCACATCGGATGACGAGGGCGTCCCTGTGTGATTCCGTACCCGGAGGCAGATCCTTGTCGGTGAAGGTGATCGCCTCCGTTCGCTGCTTCTTCGGCTGGGGGGGGGGGGGGACGTGGGATACCTCCCCAATGTAAAGGGATTGGGCCCATTTCTTTCTCTGAGTGGCGGAGTCCCCCCCCAGTGTTCCCACCTACGATGAGGTGGATGTGATTCTTCTTCGGTGGAGGCTCTTCGAAGTCCTCGTCGTCGCTGAGCCTACCAATCTCCCGCTTCTTCGCAGAGGGTTCGCCCCCATGTTTGCCGGTGTTTACCCAAGTGTTCTTGCGTGGGCCACCTTTGACAAACTGGGAGAGTTCCCCCTGGCGAATAAGGCGCTTGATGGTCTTTTTCAGTGTGAGGCAATCGTCGGTGTTGTGCGACGAGTTCTTGTGGAACCGGCGGTACGTGCCGCCCTGCTGGATGGCAAGGATCTCCTCGGCCGGCCGAGGAGCCTGCTCGATGAGGCCGTGCTTCTCGGCATAATCGAGGATGGTGCCGACCGGGTGGGTGAGGGTTACCCCCGGCCGTTCCAACCTCGGCCACCAGTGGAGGTCTTTCTTACTCTGTCCACCAGAGCCGTGACGGCCCTGGGCACCCTGGCCGGCCGGGGACGGACCCACGGCCGGCGAAGGATTTGTCTTCTTGGGGGGATGGCCCCCCTCTCTCTTGTGATTGTGGAGCTCGTCGGCGTCGGCGTACAAGCCTCCGCGCTGGAGTGCCTTGGCGTACGACCTCGGGGGGTCGGTGATGAGGCTCCTAGCGTACGGGGAGCTGCGGAGGGCTCCCTGGTACAAGGCGAGGAGGGTGCGCTCATCGGCCCCCTCGACCTCCTCGGTCTCCCTCGTCCACCGATCGATGAATGACCGGAGGGACTCCTCGTGCTGCTGCTTGACGGAGAGGAGGTGGGTGAAATACTTCTTGGCGCGCTTCCTCCCGGCAAAGTGAGTGAGGAAGCGCTGGGCGAGATCCTGCCATGAGTCAATGCTCCCTTCTGGCAGTCCGTTGAACCACTCGTACGCTGGCCCCTCGAGAGTAGAGAGGAACCAACGGCAGAGGTATTCGTCGGACGCGTTCACCATCAGCATGTTGTTTTGGTAACGGCTGAAGTGCTCCTGGGGGTCTGATCGGCCATCGTAGGACTTGATGGCGTTCCCCCTGTACTTCTCAGGGATGGGGGCCGAGAGGACCCTGTTGGTGAAAGGGGTCCTAGTCCTGACCTGGATGATGGGGTCACCCCGCCCTTCGGCCAGCTCCCTCTCCAGGGCGCTAACTTTGTTCATGAGCGCGTTGAGGCCGGGGTCGTTGGAGGCACCGGCCGTAGGGATGTTGGCCGACTGCTTGGCCTCCATCTGAGCCAGCCTCCTTTCCAGCTGGGCGATGACCTCGTCCCGGGGGTCCCTGTTGGCCGCAGCGGCGCCCGGCTGGTTCCTTAGGCGCTCGTTGTGAGCCGCGTAGATCTGGTGACGCACGTCATCCTCGTGCAACTTCCCCTTGCCCTTATCCGGGCGGGGCTGGTCCGCTGTCCGGGACACAGACCCCAAGCTTTCCCTTGGCGAGCCAGGACGAGGATCACCAATCCGTCCCGCCATCCTCTCCGAAACCGGATGACGGCGCGTGTCACCTAGCCTATTGAAGGCAGAGGCTTTTCCATGCGCTGGGGTCTGCCCGGGCCGAAGAGGGGAAGCAGGGTGGGAGTGGGACGACGCCGTGTCCTGGGGCACCACCCCCTCGTTGTTGCCAATCTGGACGGCCAACGGTTGGGGTTGAGGAGGTTGAGTGACGTTCCCCCCAGTCCTTGGCAAGAGTGCGCTGAGGACGGTGGGGTTCTGAGCCAAGCTGGCGATGATAGCCGATAGTGCGGCCTGGACCTGAGGATCTACGGACGGAGAGGCCGCGACCATAGGCTGGGCCGGGGCGTGATCCGTCTTTTCAACTCGCTTCTTGTCCAAGCCGAGGCGGGCATCAGGGGCGCCGCCGTTGAGTTGGTTGCGGAGGTCCGTTGTGAGGTTGAAAGCCTCCTGGAAGAGATCCCCTCCGCCGGCCTGGTCGGCCGTGGCGTCCTCATCGTGCTCCCTGGGCTCTTGGTCCTGAGGGATGACTTTGCTGACGAGGTTGCGGTTTGACTTAGTCAATTATGATCTGAATTACTTCTCCTATCAAGTTAACCTTTTAGGATGCAATCTCAAGTCTTAAATTGTATCAGAGTTAAATCGATCCTTGGTGTGGATCCCCTTATTAAAAATGATTGACATGACTTAAAAAAAATGAAAATAACGAATTGATGAAAAAAATGAATGACGGTAGCTCGATCCAGATAAAGTGTTTGGTCGTGAGGAGGGGTGTTGAATTCCGAAAAAATGGAATACCTATAACTTTCCACCTTTACATTTACAAAAATGTGATCAGATTTCATATGGACAGAACTGTGACCAAACTAGCATTGAAATGACCAGACTGCCCTCCCACTAATCAAACATTAAATCTCTCCCTCGCTTCATCTGCTCACCGTCGCATTCTCCTGCTATGCTCGAAGGACCCGTCCGCCTCTCGTGGTCGAAGCACTCGTCCGCCTCTCCTGCTCGAAGGAATCTCTGTATCGCCCATCTCCGCGTCCTCTGCATCGTCATCACCGTCTTCCTCCATGCCGCGCCGCCTCTTCATCTGCCGACCGCCGTCGTAGATTCTCTAATCTTCTTCCTCTTCTCATTTCTTTCCCGCTGGACGGAGTGTCGATTTGGTGCAACGGTTGTAAAGAGGTTGGTGAGGGCTAGATCTGGCTGTTCGGGTGTGGTTTGGGCTAGATCTGGGGTGGGGGTTTGGCGGTCGGGCTGGGGGCTGGGGAGGTGGCAGGGGGATCGGAGGGGGTTGGGGACGTGAATGTGTTTGGGGCGGTCGTCGGCGACGGCGGTCCGCGGTGATGGTCAGGGTGGAAACGGGGCTCAGGGGCTGTGAGAAGCTGGGGAGGGAAGGGGCAGGGGACACCAGAGACGGCGTATCATTGTGACCGGAGTTCGTGTGTCACTGGGGCCGGTGAGGATGGACAGTCACTGTGGCCGGAGTCACTGTAACCGAAGTCACTGTGACCGGAGCAATGGCGGCGGGTACCAGCGGCGACGACGGGATCGGCGGTCACAGAGGTGCTGGTGGCTGCAAAGGAATAATATTTAAATAATAAATGTATGATTAAATTATAGGAATAAATGACTTTTAATCATTTTTTTTAGAAAAATTTAAAACAAAGTCACATTTTTGTCTTTTTCATTCATTTTAGTAATATTGGAATAAAAAGGCCTTGAATTTCCACGTTGAATACTTGTGAAGGCATTTATAAGTGCTCTATTGAGATCTGGATTATTCCTCCTATCAGGATGACCTTTTAGGATGAAACCACGAGTCTTAACTGTGATACCTCGAAAATTTTAAATAAAAATAAAATAAAAGTAAAACAGATAAAGTATATCTGAAAAATAAATGAAAATAAATATTAAAGAGTTATAACTTATTACTTATAAGTAATATTTTGTAACAAGCGATAATCATGCATATGATATGAATAATAAAAGTGACAATTTTAGAGTTATCAGATATACGCACACACAAAAAATGCGTACTAAATACTACACACAATAACAAATTAAAAAGAGTTGACTTTTCAACTTTAATATCATCTTTGATATGTATACATGAGTGGAGTAATAAAATATACGAGATGGTAGTCATAATAATAATATAAAACTACAATAATGTACATATCTCATAAGATAAGAATGGGTGAACGACCAACACACATAGCTCATCCTTCTACACTCAAAATATATAATATACACATAGTACATTAATAATATACACATGGGATGTCAAAACAACCCACATGGGTTGATTGAAGATGAAGGTGAAGTTACCCGCACGGGTAGCTCAGTTGGTCAAGCGATGGGAAAAATTGGACGTAGACCAAAGTTCGAATCCCACAACGGCCAAAAGAGGGTTTCCAGAACCTGAAATAAGGTTGGCCCTCTGGTGCGCACGGGTAAAGGCCTACTGCCGCTTTGCCGACTGAGTCACCGTGATTTACTCTCCCACCATCCTGTCGGGTCGGGGTGGGGGGCCCTTGGGGTTGGGGATTCATCCTTTTGGACGAAGATGAAGGTGAAGCCAAAAATACATCACTCATTCGGGCAAGATAAAACCTTCGCTTATGGGTATAAATAGGGGTATTGGGAAGGGTTATCTCCACACCAAGCTATATATATACTTACTCGCCGGGAAATATACACATAACTATATTTACGTAAGAAATTTCTTATAAGCAAGAGAGGATGGTCGTGAGAGGTCCAGGAATACTTCTCAATAAATTCGTAGTCACCGGCGGAGCTTCTTAGCCGCCGCCGGAGTTGCAAGCCGTAGAAACAGACGGCTCTTCAGCAAAAGCGGATATTTTGCCGTAGATAGGGGCGACGGAGCTTCGTCTCACCGTCGAAATCCGTTACCTGTAAGTCAAGTTATAGCTCGCTGAAGTTTTCTAATTTCCGGCGAAGTCGCCGGAATCGCGACCTGGAGAAGATGACCCAGTTGTCTGGGTCAGAACTTCTTGGGCCGAGTCAGTTTAATGTGCCAGTTCGGTCCAGTTTCAATAAAAATTAAAAATAAAATAGTAAATGAAATAAATAAAATCTGGAAAATTATAAATTAAATACCTAGTATAAATATACATATTCAGACCAACCAGAATTGAAAGATAATATTTTTAGCTATTTTTAATTGATTTAATTGTAATTGGGCCAATTTGTACATATTTAGTAAATAATTAACTAAATGACGAAATAAATTATGAAATAAATATTGGAGTAATCTAGATTAAATATATGACTAACTAGAACATTTGGGACCATTTATAATTAATAAAAATTATGATTAGTTTATTTAATTATAATTAAACCGGTTAATAGATATATGAAATTAAATGAATAAATAAGGGAAATAATTCTTAAATAAATATATAGACAACCTAGGTCAAGTATAGACCCAAAATAGAGCTAATAGATATATGAAATTAAATGAATAAATAAGGGAAATAATTCTAAAATAAATATCTGGACAACTTAGGTCAAATATAGACCCAAAATCAGGGGTGGATCCAGGAATGAAGAGTGGGGTGGGCTTAGCAGGAAAAAAATTGTTATTGCAAACAAAAAGTTTAGCTTAGGCTGCTTAGGGCCGTAATCGAATTGAGTTTTTTTCGAACTACGTGAATTCGAGCGTGATTTCGAATTTAATTTAGTGATCTGAGCTTAAAAAGCTTTTTTTAACTCGAACACGAGCTAGATTTTGAGTTCGAATAGTTGTTCAAGCTGAGTTCCCATGACTATGGGCTTTAAACAAAGTTCGGGCAGCCTTTTGCTTTTAGAGCATCTTAGAACACTTCCTTGTAGACTTGGGGTGGGCTGAGTTTTAATTTTTGGGTGGGTTGAAAATTGAATCTCTTTCTATACTAACAAAAAAAATTGGGTTGGGCTGGGCTAGAGCCCACCCTAGGCCCTACATAGATCCGCCCATGCCCAAAATATAGTTATGGACGGTTATAAATTTATAAATTCGAATCTTAAACTATTTAATTTAATTGGGCCATATAAAACTAGTTAAGTAATTAAATAAGAAAATTTTGATATTAATTGTGAAATAAATAAATCACTAAGATTGAAAATAATGTTCTGGACTAAAAATGATGTTTGTAATAAAATAAGGATAAAGTGGGGTTATCTAGTATAAATGAATGACTATATTTGGACTTAACAAATAAATTATTGAATTAGCGGACTAATTAAATTAGTGTGATTAAATTAATAATTATTATCCTTGATTATTATTGATTTGAACTCCATATAAACTATTAAACTATTTGAACTCATAAAAATTAGTTGATTAATATAAACAAATTAATTAAGTAATGTGTACTTAATGATGATGGATAGCGTACCCGGAGGTAGCTTATCCGAGGAGTTATTGCGGGAATAACTTAGAGAGAAGTCAGAGCAAATAAGTAAGAGAGAGAGTGTATATTCGATATGGATTTAGCGTGGTTTACAAAGGGAATAAGGGCTGCTATTTATAGCGGTCATAAATGCGATCAGAGTACACGTGTCAACAATCTGACGGCTAAGGGTTATCTCAATCGGGGTGGCACCGGCACTTGCATGTGCCCGCATTAAATGCGGTGGGTGGATGTGATGCCGTATTAAATGCGGTGGTTGACTGTCTCTAAAAGGAATCTTCGTCGATAGTTCTGTTGCCGAAGGCATCGTGTGGCCGAAGGCATTGTGTGGCCGAAGACATCATGTGGCTGAAGGCATTGTGTGGCCGAAGACATCATGTGGCCGAAGGCATCGGGTGGCCGAAGGCTAACATTTTAGCCAAGATTTTCCAGAAGCTTTACAGGACCATATTAAGATGTCTCCCAGAATTTGGAGCCCTCGGCCATAGGGCCGAAGGCATCCACGTGTGCAACGTGGTTTTCTTCATGCTCTGGCCGCTACGTTTGGGCTTTATGTGCTTATCGGGCTTGATGGGCCTGTGTAGAAGAAGCAGGAGTCTATGGGCCGGGGTGTCCCGGACCATATACTCCATCAGGAGTCCCCCACTCCTTTTGCCGAGAGTTTCTCGAGGGAAATAGGAGTAGTGTCTTGAAGTTGCTGATGGCTCCCTTTCTGCAACTGAAGAATAAGAATTTTCAAGTTTGATTATTTTTGCTGAAGGGAGTAGATTGTCGTTGTGATCTTGCCTCAGCTTGCTGTAGCTGAGAAATAGAAATTTTTTAACATTTGCGTGTTTTGCCGAGGGGAGTCCCCCAGTCCCCCACTCCTTTTGTTGAGAGCTAATCGAGGGAAACATGAGTAGAGTGATGCATGCCTTCAGCAGGAGCCGCCGAGAGGTGACGCCTTTTGTTCCACAATTGGGAGATGGCTCGTTAAAAACCTCATTAGGAAAAAACCCTGTGGGAAAAAATCCTAATGAGGGAAAAAGAGTACACCGGATGCCCCCAGAATGAAGCAAAAGGAATGCACCCTTCAGCCTAGATTGTTGAGCGGTGGTTGTGTCCGTCCATTGAGGGGATATCCAAGACCAGCCTTAGATCCTGCATGAAAAAGTTGAAGAGCTTGTAAGGACCCCCCGTTATCAAATAAAGGTGACGGAGGGGTGCAAGGCCAGGTGGGTCTGTGTGAGAGCCTAGCATCAAATACAGATGCCGGAGGGATGGAGGCCGAGGGGCCTGTATGATAGCCCCTGGCATCAACTAAAGATGTCGGAGGGATGAAGGCCGAGGGGCCTGTGTGATGGCCTGCGACATCAAATAAAGATGCCGGAGGGATGAAGGCCCAGGGGCCTATATGATGGCCCCTGGCATCAAATAAAGATGTCAGAGGGATGAAGGCCATGGGGCCTATATGATGGCCCCTGGCATCAAATAAAGATGTCGGAGGGATGAAGGCCGAGGGACCTGTGTGATAGCCCCTGGCATCAAATAAAGATGTCGGAGGGGCGAAGGCCGAGGGGCCTGTATGATGGCCCCCAACATCAAATATTTGATATCGGAGAGATGTAAGGCCGAGGGCCGTTATGATGCGGAATCATGCTGAGGTTGAGGGCCGTTGGTGATGTAGAATCACGTTTAGGTCGAGGGCCATTCGTGATGTAGAGTCACGCTGAGGCCGATGGCCGTTCGTGATGTGAAATCACGTTAAGGCCAAAACCGTTGTGACGTAGAGTCATGCTGAGGCCGAGGGCCATTGTGATGTTGAGGCCGAGGGCCGTTGTGACGTGGAGTCATGCTGAGGCTGAGGGCCATTGGTGATGTATATTCACGTTGGGGCCGAGGGATGTTCGTGATGTAGAGTCTTGCTGAGGCCGAGGGCCGTTCGTGATGTGAAATCACGCTAAAGCCAAAACCGTTGTGACGTAGAGTCACGCTGAGGCCGAGGGCCGTTGTGATGTTGAGGCCGAGGACCGTTGTGATGTAGAATCACGTTGAGGTCGAGGGTCGTTCGTGATGTAGAGTCTCACTGAGGCTGATGGCCGTTGTGACGTTGAGGCCGAGGGCCGTTGATGTGGAATCACGCTGAGGCCGAAGGCCGTTGGTGATGTAGAATCACATTGAGGCTGAGGGCCGTTCGTGATGTATAATCATGTTGAGGCCGAGGGCCGTTCTGTGATGTAGACTCATGTTGAGGCCGAGGGCCGTTCCTTGATAGTTCCGGGAGGCCGCGTGTTAGTCCTCCGGGTGTTTGTTCCTTCTTTCAGGCTTTGGCCGAGGGGTTGCTTCCCCGCCTAGGTCGAAAGGGGGTCCAAGTGATTCATCCAGGGGTTCGTCCGTTAGTCCCCCGGCGTTGGGCCGTCCCTTGATTGTGTCAGGAGGTCGTATGTTAGTCGTCCTGATGCGTGTTCTTTCTTTCAGGCTTCGGTCGAGGGGGTTGCTTCCCCGCCTCGGCAGAAAGGGGGTCCATGTGATCCGTCTGGGGGTTCGTCTGTTAGTCCCCCGGCGCTGGGTTATCCCTTGATTGTGTCAGGAGGTCATATGTTAGTCCTCCTGATGTGTGTTCCTTCTTTAAGGCTTTGGCCGAGGGGGTTGCTTCCCCGCCTCGACCGGGAGGGCGTCCAAGTGATCCATCCGGGGGTTCATCTGTTAGTCCCCCGACGCTATACCGCCCCCTGACTTTGGGGGGTCCCGTTGTCTATATACGGCGCAGGCTAGGCTTGGTCGGTTTCCGACGACTTCCGTTTCACCCCCAAGTTTGGGGATTTCGTCACCTCATCCATTCTTTCAGGCCTGTCGCCGTGCGTTGCGCGCCGGCGACGTGGTGAGCATCCCGCTCCAAAAACGCGGGCCTTTTGCAGGCCCCTCGTCCTTGGACACCATCGGCCATACCTGGGCATTTGGCCTCGAAGGGGCCGATCAGATGTCCGAATTGTGCGCATCCTTTACTTAAGTTCATAAGAAATAAGCGGAATACAAGGGGTGCATTGTTTGACAACGGCTTTGTTAAGATACACGGCTCGAGGCCGAGGGCTCTAGGCCGAGGGGATGATAATGTGCCTCGAGGTCGAGGGCTCAAGGCTAAGACCGAGGCCGAAGGCGAGGAACATGATTAGCGGAGGTGGCGCTTCTTCGGCTGGGGCTCCTCGAACTCCTCGTCGTCGCTGAACCTCCCAATTTCGTTGAGGTGTCCCCTTCTTTTTTATCGGTGTTCTCCCCGACGTTTTTCCTTCGGGCATTTTTGATGAATTGGTGGAGCTAACCCCGTTGAATTAAGAGTTCAATAGCCTTCTTTAACGAGACACAATCGTTTGTATTATGGGAGGTGCTTTTATGGTAACGGCAATAAGTGCTGCCTTGGTGGACGGCGCAGGTTCGAAACCCGCAGCGGCCGTGTGGAGGTCACAGAACATGAAATAAGGCTGAGCTTCTGGTGCGCACGGGAAAAAGGCCTACCATCATTGGGCCGACTGAGTCACCGTGATTAACATCCTCCCAAAAATCCTATCGGGTCGGGGTATGGGGGGCTCCTGGGGTGGGAGATTCCACCTTTTGGACCAAGTTGAGCTTTATCAACCTTGGACTAAGATGTTGGCACCAATTAAAAACAATGCTTCCAATGTGTACAAGTTAGCATAAAAAAACTAGACCTGGACAAAACCGGGCCAACCCGCCCGCACAAATGGGCGGGCTTGGACATATATATTTACCCACCGAGCTGGCCCGAGCCCGGCCCGCAATAAGATATGGGTGGGCTTGGGTTAGGGTGTAGGCCCATTCGGGCCGATAAGCCCGACCTGCTACATTTAGTACATACTAATTTATTTATTTATTTATTTGCATATACACATGTATATTTATATTTACTAATTTTTCTTTATACATATTTATAGCCCAACCAATATAATATCTATTTTTGTACTTCAAGATAATACTTTGTGCTTAAATTTTAAATTTTAGATACAGTTTCTCATTAATTTTTTTGTGTATGTATTTTTTTGTATGTGGTGAAAGACGTATAAACATTATAAGCGTATTAATTATTTTCTAAATGTTGTAATATTATTTTTAAAGTATTTAAAAAATCATATAATTTTGAGAAAATTAAAGTATTCCCGGGCCGGGCGGCCCGGTGGACTACCCGGCCCGGGCGGCCCGGTGGACTACCCGGCCCGGGCGGCCCGGTGGACTACCCGGCCCGCTCTTATGGGCGGGTATGGACATAGGGTTAGGCCCGTTTTTGTGGGCCAGGCCGGGCCCGCCCACACATGATGGGCAGAAAATTTATAAAAAGCCCGGCCCGAGCTCGACCCGACCCCGTCTTTGTACAAGTCTAATCAAAACTTGCATTGCTTGTATAGTTTATTACTCTGTAATACATATTAGCCATATTACTTTTTTTAATTCTCTAATACTATCTTTCGTTCCATAAAAGTTGCAACAGTTTGACTTTCACGTTTGCCAACACGCAACTTTGACTGTAATTATATTTATTTACGTATTAGTAAACATTCAAAAAAAATTAATATATTGGAAATTTACAGTAATACAAATTTATTAATATTTTATACATAATATTTTTATTATATACTCCCTCCGTCCCTCAAAACTTTGCCAAGTTTGACCGGTACAGGGATTAATAACGTAAATAGTGTTTTCTTGTTTCTTTCACTAAACAATCAAAGTTTAAAGATATTTTTTAAATGCCTAGGCATCTAGCATATTTCGAATAGCCTGGTCAATAATCAATTTCCACTTGGTTTCATCACAAGTTCTTGCTAGGGTGGAATCTCTCTCTAAGATGAAAGAAACGTGTATAAACATCGCAGCCCAATAGTTTAAGATGAAAGAAACGTGTTGGCTCAGTATTTAGTCTGAGCGTCTTACTCTTAGTTGATATAATTATCCTTGAAGATGTCAATTATCCGCCTATGAAAAGCCACTCACCATATTTATTTGCAATTCAAATAACAAATATGAAGACATGAACCCTCCAGTTAGGGGTGGATTGGGTTCGGGCCACCCGGCCCGGCCCGCTACTGTGATGGCCCGGGACCGGCCCGGTCTGGCGGTCCGGGACCGGGTGGAGACCCGAACCGGGGGGGCAGCGGGGGGCGGGCTCGGTTCCGGTAAAACGTGACACGGTCCAGCCGGGTCGGTCTTGGGTCCGGGTCACAACGGTTATATTTTTTTTTTGTATTTGGGCCAATAGAGCCGTTGGGGGTGGGCTGACAGGGGGTCCGGGCAGTTGGGGGGGGGGGGGGGGGGGTAAAAAAAACTATAGATACTCCTAATTTTAAACATTTTTCCATCTCTTCTCCAACTCTTCCTAAATCCTACTCTCTACTCTCTAATTATCTTCATCTTCATCTTCTCAAATTCTTTTATTCTCCAATATATTATATATCTACTTATATTATTTATCTACTTATAAATACATATATTTACATTACTTATATTTCTTATCTACTTATATATTAATTATCTACTTAAATACATATATTATATTACTTATATTACATTTTTAACATGGAAGGTGGTAGATATTCGGTTGATATGGGTAACCTCGACCGCAACCGAACGAACGAGCTTGCGAGGAAGAAGAGATCCCGCAAAGGTAAATCACATAACGGTTCTTCATCTCAAAGCCGAGATGATTTTGATACGGGTTACGCAAGGAGGGATGGAGATGCGATGACCGACGAACAACTAGAACAAGAATTGCACTGACATAATAGCCACTTTTCCAAGACCAGCCGACGAGCATTGACGAAGAAGAGCTCGAGGACTACGATGTGGAGAAAGTAGTTCCGGAGATGGACACGGAGGAGGGTGGCGGCAGCCACGACGCCGACGAGCCTGCCTCATCCCAAACAGGTACGAAAAAAGTAAATCTGAACTAATGCTTAATAATTTTGATAAGTGGAAGGACCCGAAGACCGGGAATTGGAACGCAACTTGCAAGTGGTGCAAAAAAAGTTATAGCTTGGGTATTTCTGGCGGATACGGATCTGCCGCAAGGCATCTTAAGGCCAAACACACAACCTTTTGGTAATTTCTCATTCAATGATGCACAAAATTTGGCTGGTATGACTCTTACTTGTTGAAGAAAATTTACCTTATTTGTTTTCTGAAAGTCTTGCGTTCAAAGATTATGCACAAACTTGTTTAAATCCTCAATATAGAGGTTATAGTCGCAAAACGGTTAAGAAAGAAATTTAAGGCTTTATGGTGCAGAAAATGTAAGGTTACAAAATTATTTTGCAAACTTTGATGGCGTGTTACTGTATGTTCTGACATATGGGAGGATACTTATCATAATTTACATTATTTGGATCTGACTGTACATTATATTGATAATGATTGGAATATGCATAAACGTGTTCTTGCTTTTCGTGATTGAGCGTATTTTAATTGAGTATAATTTGAATGATAAGGTGTTTGCTAATGATTTTGATAATGCTACTAATAATATTGTTACTATTCCTAGATTTCGTGAATTGTGTGATTCTACTTCTTTGATGGGTAGATTTTTTCATCAACGATGTGAATGTCATGTTATAAATTTATGTGTGCTAGATGGTCTAAAAGCGTTAGGAGATTCTTTGGAGGTAGTCAAGGGGGGATTAGACATATTTGGGGTAGTGGTCAACTTAGAAAAAAATGGCATGATTATTTGATAGAAACAGGTGAGAATCATGTGGCTTTTCCTAAAGTTTTTCTTAGATATAAAGAACATTTCCCTGCTTTTTTAAAACAATATGATAACTATATTATAAACTCGGCTGAGATCGACACCTGCGAAAAAATTTGTAATGCTTTGGTATATTTTTATAATGCAACTGAAACTTTTAGTCATGTTTATAAACCTACCTCAAACCAATTTATTCTTGAAGTTGTTAATCTCGCCGGTGCTTTTGCAAATTTTGAGAATGCCGATTATGTCAGTTATTTGCTGATTTTATGAAGGAAAAGTTTTTAAAATATTATGCACATATTCCACATATTTATGGTATTGCATTTGTTCTCGATCCTCGTTTTAGACTTGGTTCTTTAGAAGAATATTTGAATTATTATAATCAAGTGTTTTTTGGTCCTTTGCCAATGTATGACGAGAACTCAATTGATCCAAAAAAAGAATACAACGAGGTTTGTGATATATTTTATGCATTATTTAATGAGTTTCATGCACAATATGACAACGTGCCCCCTCCCCCGACACAAACATCTTCATCTAAAGGAAAATCAATTTTGAAATCTACATTTGCCAATCTTATTAAAAAAACTAAAATAACTCCCGCTACTCAACAAAGCACAATTAATGAGATTTCTTTGTATTTAACATATGATGTTGATTTTGAAGAAGATGATGAATTTGACATTCTAAACTGGTGGAAGGGAAAAGAAAGAATGTTCCCGGTTTTAGCAAAGATGGCTAAGCAAGTGCTATCAATGCAGATTTCAACTGCTGCCGTGGAACAAGAATTTAGTTCGGCCGACAATGTCCTAACACAATCTAGAACGAGGTTGAGCGCAGAATCTCTTGAGACGCTTATATGCTACCACGATTGGTTGAAGGCGGCCCGTAGAGCTCAAGAAATTGGCATCACCCCATCCCAACACTTTATGGATGAATCAACAATCGAGGGTGGCTCTACCTATGTCGGAGATTCCGATTGATTAGTATTTCATGTTTTAATTTTATCTTCAATTCTCAAATGTAGTTCCTATTTCATTTCAAATAAATGCACTTGAAGTTTGTTTTTAATACTTGTATAAAATTATAAAGTATAAATAAGTAAAAAAAATGGATTTACCCGACCCGGCCCGACACGGTGGGTAGCCCGACCCGTGACCCGGGCGGGTGGCTCGGCCCGAACCGGAACCGTCATTACCTCAGGCCGGTCCCGGGCCCACCTTTAATAAACCGGAGGCCCGACCAGGCCTGAACCGGCCCGAGTCCAAGCCTACCTCCAGTCATATAGGTATCATCCATAGCAACAGAGGGTGGTTAATGTATATATAGGTGCACCGGCTGAATTTCGCTCCATAACTGATGTGGATGCTTGCAACTGATAACACGAGAGTGAAGTGATTCGGAAAGCGACGCTAGGAGCCAGGAGAATAGCATCTGATCTTGTTGCTCCCAGATATTGTAGGTCTCGTTGATAATTTTTGCTCCATCATCGCTAACAGCAAATCGTTCTGGTATTTGAGGATTTTGGATGAATTTGAGAAGCTGATGCGCTCGAATTAGAGATTGAACATGATGCCTCCAAAACAAGAAATTGTTGGAATCAAGTTTGATCGGTAAAGGATGATGAAATTACTGGAGAAGTTTGTGAGGACGTTGATTCAGTAGTAGAGTTCGTCATGGTTGGAATGAGCAGAGCTCTGATACCATATCAGAATAGAAGCAAGGTTGGAGAGATTACAGAGTACTTGTACAAGTCAGCAGTTCAACTAACTAAACGCAAATGTAACAAAAGCCTAACAGATTATAACTACACTAGATTATAAAGAAATACACGTGTAGTGTTTATTTAATACTCCTAACACTGAGCAAATTGCGAAGTAGAGAGTAATTATGACAAAGCTCACCTAAATATTCCAAGCACATCAACATATTATACTGTGAATGAAGATTAGAATGAAAAATAGAATGAGTTCGGGTATATGTAGAAACATGTGTCAGAGATTTTGTCACGGAAATTTCTGTGACAAACATTTATGTTCTCATCTGCCTATGGTGGGATCGGTAGAAACAACATTTATTCGGCTGTGTCACGGACTTTGTCATGGATTTTTTCGTGACAAAAAGAATTTGTATAGCCGGGTCAAATCGAAGAAATCAACTTTAATCCGTGATAAAATCTAACGGGTAAAAATTTTGAATTTTGTCAGGGATAATATCCGTGACAAATTTTAGGCGACGAAAAAATGCCCGCTAGAATTTTTTGGGTGTAACAACGACCATTTTGTCAGGGATTTTGTTAGGGATATTGTCAGTGACAAATTTTGTCACTGATTTTGTCCGTGACAAAAGAATTTCATGGGCTGGGAAATATTCTGTGACAAAGTTCGTGACAAAATTGTCAGGGACGGAATTCATGACAAAAATCCGTGATAAAATCGCTGTTTTTTTGTAGTGAACACTAAATTCACAAACTCTAATTTTATAAAAAATGAAATAGTGGCGATGTCACGGCATGAGGAAAGCCGTGACAAGCAGAGATGGAGATGGCGGCGGCGGCGGCGGCGGGTAGGCGCTAGGCATGGGGATGGTTGCGACAATGCAACATGGGGAAGGTTGTGGCGCTGCGACATGAGGACAGAGGTGGTGGCGAGCAGGCACAGGGACGGAGGCACATAGGCATGACGACGGCCGTGGTGCCATAACATGGGGATGACTGTGGCAAGAAATTTAAGCATGGAGACAACGGCGGCGGTTAGGCGCATAGGCATGGGGACGGCTGCGATGCCGCCGCTTGAGGATGGCAGGGGCGGTGGGTGCGGTGGTTGCCGCGGGGATGGGGCGCTTGATGCCGCGGCGACAGGTAAGTGGCTAGATTTTTTAGAAAATGAGTAGAAAGTTATGGTTTTATAATATAAATCTAAGGACATATTAGTCCATAAAAATTATTTATTTATTTATTTATTTATTAATCAAATTTTATGAATTTAAATATTATTTGAGAAAAAAAGTAATGAAGCCATATACTGGGAAAATAGATAGCTTTAGTCATATCTATGGTAATTTTAGTCTTAAAATAACTCAATTATCAATCCTTAATTAACAATCCGTGTTAATAAAAAAAATCTGTTCAAGAAAAAACTGGCCCAGTTACATATTCGAAAATCTTAACAAAATAATGGGCCAGTTGCATATTCCAAAATAGTGGGCTGCTCAAAAGAAAACTACAATCTCCTCTCCGACTCATAAAATTTTTCTCACTTGTCATTTTGGGATGTTCAAAAAGATCTTACCTTACTACTTTTTTGAAAAGTTTTGCTTATATTCATTTACTTTTTTCTTACTCAACAACAATACATTTCTACTTTATTCTCACTTCCTTACACTCCGACCGAAGTTAAATTGAGAAGAATTTTATGGGACGGATGAACTACATACTCTTTAATTTTGGGTATTGACGTATGCAGGTGCGCATGTGTAGGAGGGTGGAGTAAAGTAACTTTTTTTTGTCAAGAAATGCTTACTTTTTGTTTGTATTGATTTTCACTTTAGGTCTCAATATTCAACAAAGGTAGCCTGCATAGTTATCTCAATATTCGAATGGCAGTAAAGAAGCTAACCACCACTAAACACAATATGTGTACATATACATGCAATCTGCAATGGATAATGGTGTCAAAGGCCTGTGTGCCCTTTTGTGCGTGCTCATAATAGCGTTTGTTTGTGTTCTCTTTTGGCTGATAATAAAAGCAACCATGCACAAGATTCATTGACGACAGGAAGGGCATCGCCCCTTAATATTTCTTCATGTATGTATCTTTATTAATTGAGATACTAATAATTAAGGTTTTGATCCTGACTAAGCTCGTCTCCATTTCCAAACATACTTCGTACTTTATTTATTCGATAATCTTATTGGCGATGTATTTTTCCATTTCCTGGCCTCGATCGTTAATTATACGTACGTAGTATATATATTTGGTAATTTGGGATGTTTGCTGTTTACTTTGTGATTGTTTTTGTAATTTTATACATGTGGATGTTAAGTTTGTGACCAATATAATAGGAGTATAATTTTTGTGTTTCTTTATATAGTTGTAATACGAACAGCTAACTAATTGCTCATACTCATTGGCTCAGTTAGTTGAAAATCGTATCAAGTGTTTAGCATGAGATTTGAAAAAATCGTTTTAATTTTAGCTTTTATCTTTAAAGAAGCTAAGCTAAAAGTGTAGAATCTTTAAACATATGCTTCTCTAAACATCAAAAACATGAAAGCTGATTAACAATGGGAGGAACAAATATGTGATTTAAACTGTTTTTCACTTTTCATATACTCCCTCCGTCCCTAATCTTTCTCCCTTTTCGGCTGGACACATTTATTAAGATAGTGGGATTTGTGTGGTGGAGAGTTGTGCAGAGGAGAGAGAAATGTGTAAGAATGTGTAAGAATGGTTTTGAACCACAAATTTTTTGCTAAAAGGGGGAAGAGGAGATAATTTTGGGACGGACGAAAAAGGAAAGTTTGAAGATAATTTAGGGACGGAGGGAGTAATACAACAAGTATTTTTTTATAATGCTTGAAATAAACTTGCAATTCAGCAATCAACACCACGATGCAAGTGCACGATTACTCCTCCTATCAGGTTAACCTTTTAGGATGGAACACCGAGTCTTAACATTCTCCCTAGTTGAAACAGATTTATTTATCCTAACAAACGAGTAAAATGCATAAATAGTACCTTAACTATTGATACGGTAATGTTGCATTTTAGTACCTAAGTCTTTAATGAAGCAAAACAGTACCTCAACTACGTTTAAATGTTGCAACCGGCGATACCATTCAATATTTCCGCCAAAAAAGGCCTCATGCAGACCCGGTCCTGACATGTTTTGGGCCCGGGGCAATACAAACAGAGTAGGCTCAGGGAAAGCGTATAAATATTTATAATATTTTTTTTATAAAAGTATATGGTAAAATTAAACAATTTTGTCATCCAAATACGAGTAACATATCAAGGAAATGAATAAAGCAGTCAATTAGGAAAATTTTATTGAAGTATTTGATATTTAACATTTGAGGATACAATGTACCTAAACCAAAGCGAGTACAACTATCAATTGCAATAAAGAATTTTGAATTACGTAAAGACGTGAAAGATACTGCAAGTTTCTAAATTATTTAATATCTAATTATAGTTTCTAATTACACTATCCCTGAGGCCTACTCTGTTTATATTGTGCGTATACGGAGTAACTTTTTCATATATTAAAATAAACTGCAAGTTTCTAAATTATGAATACTATAGTTTAATTTTTCACTTAAATAAAAGAATTAGAGAAAATTAGTAAAATTCTATCAATGAATCATGAGTATAAATGAGAGAAGTAGACCAAAAGAACATTTATATGCTAACCCATAATGAATTAAAAGAAATGGTGAAATACGTTCTCAATGAATTCTAATGTGGACGTTTTAAAAATGAATTGAAAGTATCTAAAAAATTATTAACTTTGATTTTATTTTTTTAGTTTTTATAGATTTTAATGTATATATAATTAATATTAACATATACACATAATTAAGAAATTTATGGGCCCTAGTGGAGCAATGGGCCCTGGGCGCATGCCCCTTTGTCCATGCCCCAGGACCGGCCCTGGCCTCATGTCCGCCAGAAATTCACGTGTATATCCTCGTCATCGTTTTTTATCCACATCATTATTTTCCAAGCTATAAAACCTTGACTGGAAATTGAACCCGCGTCATTCACGCGAGCTGCTACTTACTACCCTACCAGCCCATAGTTCCCGCCCGTGACGTTGCACCCTCCATATATATGTTGAAGGAATCTTAGCCTCTTTTGACCAAGCTCTAGCCGGGAGCCCGGGACTAACCAACAATCCTATAACACTACAAAAAAAACACGGATTGACAGAGATTTTTGACAGGGATTTCCTAAAATTGGCAGGGATATGTCAAATCTGTGCCAAAAACAGTTTGACACGAGCTATTTGGCACGAAATTAATTATAAGAAAATCGGTGCCAAATTCGTGTTAATCCCGTAATTTTTTGTTGTGTAAGTTCCAACTCTCGTCTTCGGCTCTATGTTAGCTTCCTTAAGGTTCTCTTCAATCTGGGTAGAAGATACTCATAGAATGGCAAAACCATGTGCCACTCAGCCACTCTATTCATCACAACCTCATATGAGAGATTATGAACTTAAACTGAAAAATCGCACGAGACAAAGGGATCTCAAGCGAGGTTATGCCACCTCAAGTTGGCCGAAGAAGGCTAAGATGGCAAAAGCAACAACATGGATATCGAATAAAAAGAAAAAACACTACTTAAAAACGTTTCTCGTAGACCAATATGAAGTAAATCATTAATAATTGCTTCATAGGCAAGCTTTTTTCCACTAATAAATATGACAAACAATAAAGTTGCCACATATAACAACAGTAAACTTTCTTTTGAAAGGATAAATGAAAACAAATATTACAACATATGGAATTTATAAGTTGAGAATGATTATTGAAATTAACTTATTGAAATTTGGAAACAAATGAATAATTGGGGTGAAATTTGAGAGAAACGGGCTCTAAAATAATTATATAAATTTGTTATGTTATAATTAAATTGAATAAAAAACCTTAAAAACTAAAAAGTTGTGAAGACCGGAGAGACGTGTCTTTTATTTATGTAGCAACAATTGTATTGCTTTTATTTATGTAGTAATGTATATAATCTGTTTTAAATTTTCAAATTGTCAACAAAATTAATCATTGGGATTAATGAACTTAAGAATAAAAAAGAAGTCTACTCACACTATATATAAAGAAAAAAATTGGGCCTACTTTTTCTTCTATTTTTTTGGGCCTAGGGCGGTCGCCTCTCTTGCCCCCAGAACCAGCCCTGATTAGCTTAAATCACTAATACTTATTTCCTTGCATAGTTACATACCGTCAAAGGTAATAAACTTGGCATATTCATGAGTCATGACCAACAGAGTAACCATCGGGATTTGGATGAAAGGTACAAATTTTATATGGGAAAAATCCAAAAAATAAGAGTAAAAACGTTTTGGATTTCCAAAATATGACTGCCATATTTTTATCACAAAATATGAGTAATTACTGTCAAATTTGCTTAAAAATGACAATAATTACCCATATTTAGAAAATAAAAGTATGACAATCTTATTTCAAAATTCACAAACAATTTTACTCCTATTTAGGACAATTTCTTATTTTATGTAAGAATTTTGCCATTAATGAAGAGCAACTTCGGGTTATCATATTTTTGAAATAATAATCACGTACAAGAAAATTAGTTGCTTTAAAGGAATCTACAAGCTTGGATACCATTATTTTCAACTCATAGTAAAAAATTATAACATGGAGAGGTCAATGATGAAAGATAAGCTAAATCGACTTAGCTTTAAAGACAATGGCATCAAATAACACAAATAAATACAATGTTTGGAAAAAAATGAACAATACCGTGTTGTAGATTTAATACCACCGCCGCATTAAACTTAGTCAAATTTCCTTTTTTGGCCGTCCCAAAAAACTTTGTCATTTTCATTTAAAATAATTAATATATGGCTAAAGTTATTTTTCTCTCTTTTGCACAAATCTCAACAACACAATTTTACTTTATTATTTTACGTGCAAATTAACTTTGGTCATGTTTTATGGGACGGAGGGAGTAATATAATGACCATAGTGCTTTCCATCACTTCTAAAAAAATCAAATGCATAGGTTGACTATTGAATAGCTAGAGCCTAGAGCGTGCGTATACCAATCCGGGGCGACCTGCAAGGCGTGACGAGACAATTGATAAACCACAAGTTTAATTACAAGATAAATAGGGGTACATCCATATTCGAACACACAACTCCATAAGTTATATAGAGGTACATCCATATTCGAACACACAACTCCATAAGTTATATAGAGGTACATCCATATTCGAACACACAACTCCATAAGTTATAGAGGTACATCCATATTCGAACACACAACTCCATAAGTTATATAGAGGTACATCCATATTCGAACACACAACTCCATAAGTTATATAGAGGTACATCCATATTCGAACACACAACTCCATAAGTTATATAGAGGTACATCCATATTTGAACAAACAACTCCATAAGTTATATAGAGGTACATCCATATTCGAACACACAACTCCACAAGTTATATAGAGTTACATCCATATTTGAACACACAAGTCCATTTTGGACCACAAAATGTATGATGTACCATGAGTCTAGAACAGGCTGTTTAGATGAAATTTATTATGCATTTTCCAATTTGCACCCAGAGAGCGAGCTGAATAAAGAATGTTGATTAATTGATTAAACATCACACAGTCAAAGATATGCCTCTCTGAGACTGATTTGCAGGGTTATGTGGCATTATTTCCCAGGATGTAACTTCTTGCATTTCATCAGGCAGGAGGATGAATGGAATAGAGATCTCACGGATCATCAAGTCACCACAATATGGACATTCACTAGCGATGGCATCGTCCAGCTGAGACCGTATCTGCACATTATCAAACCCCAGGGCAAAGATCGAATCTGTAACTCATTAAAAATGTGAAATTCCAAAGTATGACTGAAAAAATAGTTTTCGCTGTGGTTTTAGTCATAATTTGTATCTTTAATTAAATCACTGAAAACAGTGAAGTGTGAAATATGCAGTGCCATAGAAAAACCTTTTCAATGGGTGTCAAGCTAGCTATTGGATGATCATCAGATAAAGCACCGTTTGTCTCCTTCCTGGGTTCACTGTCCAGCAAAGTTAGCTGCTTCTGCAGATCCAGTATGTGTTCGGCCTACAGCATGGTTCAAAGGGAAAATGATAGTAATAACTTCATAGTTGGTTTTTAACTCTTAGTAATACTGTGATTTTGGGATTGCCACGTTAAGGATACAAAGTAAAAGGCCCTATTTATTATTTTTATTTATTATCTACACACCTCCACAAGTAAGAGAAAAATCTATCTGATTCATACGTCCTTCATTTTTCTTCAACCTATTTACCTTCCTTATCGCCACATACGAACATGTGCGTACATAGTGGATTAACATTAAATCTTTGGAATTCCATTTACAGTTTTTATACTGTTCCAAGCTTTGTTTGCTTGAAGAGATCAAGCTAGAGATAATTATCATACTGCATTTAAACTTAACTGATGCACTCTGTATCCATTCCAAACTCATGCATGCCTTTCAATTTGAAAAACAAAACAAGGAATTACATTTTTTAATACTTTCCAAACCATTAACTGGAAGAAACAAGAGTTAGTTTGATGTTTGTTTATTTGTTTTTGGGAAAATATTATTTTAGGCGCCTGAAATGTTACACATCGTGTAACCTAGTGATTGTCTTGCCATTTTGTAAATATATCCACAATAGTCTTAATTCGATCCCTCACTTCCACAACTAGCTTTAACATGTCTTTCGTTAAGTTTAATGGAGGTAGTTGTTGTCCTGAAGTTCCATATTTCACTAGCCATTGTAATGAAATGTTAAAGTGATCAATGAGTAATGTCATCACTGTTGTTGAACCTAGACCGCACTGGCTGGTTTGGCTCGTTGAGTTGGGTACTAGAGGTCTAGTCAGTTGAAAACCCATTTCATTGTTGAACCCCTGATTGAGCAAGATCAAACCGGGAACTAGACCAAACTTCGGGAAAAATCTCGAAATATGAGTAAAAACGTTTTGAAATTCGAAAATAGGAGTAGTGGAGTACTAGGTTTTATTTCCCTAAATAGGAGTACCTTACTGTCATCCTGAAAAATTTTACTGCCATATTTGGCATTACTGTCGCGCCTACGGTGGTTTGGTCATGTGCGTAGAAGACCGGGTGATGCACCTGTCAAACAAGTTGAGATGTGTGGAGAAGAGGCAGGGAAGAGAGGGAGAGGAAGACCCAAACAAACGTGGGTTAGGGGAGTTCGAAGCGATATGCTTCTTCTGGGGTTGGATGAGGGCATGACTTTGGAGAGAGCTAAGTGGAGGGCGGGTATTCGTGTGGAGGTGTGATCTCGTATCATCTTTTCCCCTCATCTTTTTTTCCTTGTTTTTTATCCTTATATATAAGCATTATTTGTATCCTTTTTATTTTATCATTTTTATGTATATTTATCTCTTTTTATATTCTTTTTATAATAACTTATCTTTTTTATCTTTATTTTCTTTCTTTTCCTTTTGGTGTTGATATCATGTATCGATTCATGTTAGCCGACCCCAATATCTTTTGGGACTAAGGCTCGGATGTTGTTGTTGTTGTTGTTGTTGTTGTATTTGGCATTACCAGGCTACATATATGGATATATACTGCTATAAGTGGCAATATTGTCTAAACAAAGACAGTTATCACTCCTATTTAGGGAATAAAAATATAGTGCACCTATATTGAAATTCCAAAACGTTTTTACTCCTACTTGGGGTAATTTCTTTTACTTTATTCAAAACAATGTTGTATACATTTACATGAAAATTGTGAAAAATAGGTTCATTTACAAGTAATTTATTTTAGGCTTACGAGCCAATACTTTATTAGCATAGTATTTCAATTTTAATAATTACTCTATTATATAATTTTAAATAAATATATATGTCAATGTTAAACAAGTTGATCTGGTTGAGCTGTTGATAGATAGACCTGCTAGATTACCAGTCCGATTTTAACGTCAATGAGTGACATGAGAGGCTAAATTTCACTGCCCAAAATTTTAGTATCTGCATTTTAAAAATTTAAAGACAAGGGACACATGACATAATGATGGAATAATGAGAAAAAGGGTGATTTTCTCTTTGCTATTTCGGGAAAAGCTAACTACATGCCACAACGGCAGTAAGCCAGTAAGTTCCCGAGATGGGAAACACTAATTACATGATAGTACAAAGCAATTTTACTTTTTTTAGAAAGAGTGGCTTGCAGAGACTCACTGGATATTATTATTAACCGCGAAGAAATAATGGCTAAAAGCCTAAAACTGCAACGCCAAAAATACGGGTTAAAAAATAACAGCTCAATCATTACTTACCTGTGGTGGAGTGGTGCACCTAGTTACATGTGCAATCAGGCAGTGGGCATGAAAGGAGTGTCCGCATGGAAAGACATAGAAAGGAGCCATTGGTGCAACAGCTGTATATCCCCTCGCCATTCCGAACTCACCACCCATATTTAATATTTTTCGCCTGCAAACCTTTACAAAACCAACAACATAGACAGTAGACTATTATCATTATAAGGAGTAATTTTTTATAGTAAAGTAGCCACGTACGCAGTAAAAAAGCCACACTTCCCTAAAGTTGTTAAGCTTTATCAACCTTGAACTAAGATGTTGGCACCAAACACAATACTTCCAATGTGTACAAGTTAGCATAAAAACTTGCATTGCTTGTATAGTTTATTACTCTGTAATACATATGAGCCATATTAATTTTTCTTTAATTCTCCAATCTCTACTAATGATGGTGGTAGTATGGTACTAAAGGTGCCAACCAGACGAAACTTTTACACACACAAACACCTACACACTTGATGGTACAAACAGACAAAAGAAGACAATTACCCCACATTCCTCATCACGATCAATGACAGCATACCGCTGAGCAAGAGCATTAATATCGTTTCTAATGTTGTCAGCGCCTCGGGTTGCATCATTCATCTCCTGCTTCAATTTTTCAATTTGCTCATTATAGTCATCTAATGATGAGCAAATTGCTTCCTGAATTGGTTTGGTAGTTAGTCCACATTCTAAATGAATGAACAAAGACATGAAGTCAAAGCAACAGAAAAAAGATGATATTTGCACAGGTGAACAAACTGCAGAGCAATAATTATACAGCGACGTACATAGTCCAAAGAATAGTGTTTTCTTGTTTATTTCACTAAAAAATCCAAGTTGAAAGATATTTTATTAATGCCCGGGCATCTAGCATATTTCCGATAGCCTGGTCAATATCCATTTGGTCTCATCACATGTTCTTGCTAGAGTGGAATCTCTCTCTAACACAACTGAAGCATTATGTAAAACATCACAATCCAATAGTTTAAGAAGAAAGAAACGTGTTGGCTCAGTATTTAGTCTGAGCATCTGACTGTTAGTTGATATTACTATTCTTGAAGATTGACCTTCCTTTGAAAAGCCACTTACCATATTTATGTGCAATTCAAATTCCAAATATGAAGACATGAAGTTTTGACATATATCATCTCCCTTATCTGCCTTTACTCCAGTCCATCCCTAAAATCCTCCAATCATATAGGTATCATCCAAAGCAACTGAGGGTGGTTAATGTATATATAGATAGGTGCACTGGGGAGTCTAATTTTGGTTGGAAGCATGTTATATTTGTTAATGCAAGTATGTAACATGTTAACAGGCGTGGGAGCAGGGAACTCAGTTTGGCAATGGTGTAGCACTTGTACACCTGTCTCGTGAAGGCATGAAAGCATGGGTGGAAGAAGAAATGCCAGTCCTTGAGGACATTGCAAACTGCCAACATACAGTCTGGCCAATCATCCTAGATGGGTGTATGTCTAAGAAGCACGGGAACTTCCTGTGGTGTTTCGGAAACTTGGAAGCATGTCAGGAACTCAGAGTCTCAGACACTTCAAATTCCTTTTTTGGGACCGTTTCTGTAGTTAAAAAGAAGTGACAACCCCATTACCCTTTAGCGTTCCGGTGGGAATGTTTATGGAAAAGAGTGTCTGCTTTGAAACTTTTTAGTGATTTTTAGGATTTCTTCCTCGCAACATTGTGATATTTCATATCGCCGGGCAATGCTAGAAATATATTGCATTTTATGTTTAATACTCCCCCTGTCCTGAAATTATTTGTAAAGTCAATTTTTCTTGGTCAACACAGTTTCTTTTATTTGCCTATTTAGCATATAATTTTTTAGTATATTATAATTTGGATTTTGCGACTTTATAGTACTTTTAATGCAGTTTCCGAATATGTAAATTTTAATTTTTAAAAATAATTTAACTAATTGTAGCGATGATTTAACTTTATCGTGAGTCAAGTGTCAACCATAAAATTGCAAATTGCAATTCAATTCGGGACAGAAGTACTTTAATTATGTACTAATATGTAATAATTTCTTAACTTGGACATGTAGATTATTTACTACTCCCTCCGTCCCATTTTAGTTAGCCAAACTTGACTTTTCAAGTCAACGACGTCTAACTTTGACTGATTATATGTTTATATAGAGAAAATATTGGTAATATGAAAATGATTTAAAAATATTCTTTGTTAAAAATAGTATCATAAAAGTATAAAATTATTAAATTTTGCATAAATATGTTAGTTAAAAAAATTGGTCAAAGTTTACCATCTTTGACCGGAAAAGTCAAAGATGGCTAACTAAATTGGGAAAGAGGTAGTATTAGTTATTAAATGTCAGTGGGTTGGCAGAAGAGTTACGTACAAGAATGTGTCAACTATCAAGAGATTGAGCAAAAACTGAGCAAAAACTCCAAAGAAGTGTGAAAATTTCGGAGAATCAATTCAATTTATGCTCGGATGCTCAGCAACCGAGGTCATTCATCTTCTTAGACAAGTTGTGGAGAAGTATAGAAACATTAAACATGATTTGCATTTGGTGTTCATTGACTTAGAAAAGGGATATGATAGGGTACCTCGAGAAGTCCTTTGGTGGACCTTAACTAGAAAAGGCATATCACGCAAGCATATCAGTGTCATCATGGATATGTATGAAGTTTGTACTGCAAGTGTTTGTACTAGTGTAGGGAGAACTGCAAAATTCCTTATTACTATCGGAGTGCACCAAGGATCGGTTCTGATTCCTTTCTTATTTGTTATAGCCATGGATGAACTTACGAGATCAATTCAAGAAAATATATCGTGGTGATGTGGTATGTAATGTTTTTTAACGATATTGTATTGATTGATGAGACACAATCGGGTGTTAAAGCAAAGTTGGAAGTATGACAACAAACATTGGAGACCAAGAGTTTCAGATTGAGTCGAGCAAGACTGAGTATATGGAGTGCAAGTGATAGAGAGCGGGAAGAGCATGGGGCGGGACCGGGCTTGGGCCCACTTCCGTGGGCCGAGTTAGGGCTGTCGTTATAGTTTAATTATTATTATTAAGTTAATGTTATGTTTTAGTTTGGGCCTATTATTAGTAGAGTAGTTAGTTGAGTTAATTTGGACTTAATTAGGGTTTAATTAATATGGGCTTGATTAGGGTTTCTTGTAGAAGGCTATTTATACCCCTCGCCAGGGTTCATTCTTATTATCTTGGAATAAAGTTAGAGTTTAGCCTTTTGGCTTTGGGCAACAGTATTTTTATCGTTGATTATCTAGGCAACGGTTCACCCCGTTGATTTCTATTTTTCTGTTAAATATCAATTGGTCCGACCTGCCGGATCCCGTCCCGCCGGAATGACGAGATCAACCAACGAACGTTTATCAGAATTGGAGGCTGAAGATGCCCTAATCAATCAAAAACTTGACACGCAAGGACAGAAACTTGATCTGCAGGGACAGAAACTTGACACACAAGGTCAGAAACTGGAAGAGCAGGTCGCCCAGCTTGCGGAAATCGCAGCCTCTTTTGCAGCAATCGCGAAGGCCATGGTGCCGCCGCAGAAATCTCCCATCGCGACCGTCGAGAGCGATTCCTCCGGCCACGTCGCATCTGTCTTCTCCGATGATGGCGGACTGCGCACCGCAGCCACAACGCTACTTCCCTCGTTCGATGGCGAAGACCCAATTGGGTGGTTGGCGAGAGTGGAGCAGCAGTTCGAGCTCAAAAGGACCCCACCAGTCAGACAAGTTGCAGCGGCTAGGGTTTCTATGGAAGGGGCTGCCCTCTATTGGGTGACGTGGTTAAAGGTGCGCAAACCTGGCATATCTTGGGAGGAATTTAAGCAAGCCTTGGTGGCCAGATTTGATTCCCGATATCAGAGAAACAGGTTTGAACGGCTGTCCGGCGTCAAACAAATTGGGTCGGTGGAGGAATACAATACCTTGTTCGTTCAATTGGCTAGCCAAGTTCTGGGATTGACCGATGATCATTATTTGGGCTACTACATGAGTGGACTTGGGGAAGCAATCCGAAGTTCGTTGCGCTTATTACGGCCAGAAAACCTGGAGACAGCCATGGAATTAGCTCGCGATGTGGAGCATAATCTGTCGGTCCAAAGTGGAGGAAGTGGCAGCCCGAATTATAATTCTGCAGGGGTACATTCCAGCAGCTTTTTAATGGCAAACACGGGTCCTCCTTTGACTGCCAGTGGTGGCAGCTTGAAGGGATCAAGGGGCAGCTTTGCGAAGGATAGTGGACAGCCTCCGGGGACGAAGTCAGGGCTGTCCGGGCAGCCTACGACACGCTCTCAGTTCACTCGTCTTCCGCCAAACGAGTTCGCAGAATTGAGGGCGAAAGGATTATGCTTTAGGTGTAAGAAACCTTTTACACCGGGGCACGACTGTCCCTTTAAGCATCTGCGGGTAATGATAGCCGAGGAGGAGGAAGAGTTAGACCTCCAACAGCATGAGTACTGTGAAATAACCGGCCAGGAAAGAGCTCAGGAAAGAGAGAAAGGATATTTTCCAGTCTATTCTATGTCTGGGAATTTCAGCTCCCCATCTGTCAACTTTCAACCTTGAGGACAAGGTTATTTTGAAGGAGGATGGATTGATAGAGAGCGGGAAGAGCATGGGGCGGGACCGGGCTTGGGCCCACTTCCGTGGGCCGAGTTAGGGCTGTCGTTATAGTTTAATTATTATTATTAAGTCAATGTTATGTTTTAGTTTGGGCCTATTATTAGTAGAGTAGTTAGTTGAGTTAATTTGGGCTTAATTAGGGTTTAATTAATATGGGCTTGATTAGGGTTTCTTGTAGAAGGCTATTTATACCCCTCGCCAGGGTTCATTCTTATTATCTTGGAATAAAGTTAGAGTTTAGCCTTTTGGCTTTGGGCAACGGTATTTTTATCGTTGATTATCTGGGCAACGGTTCACCCCGTTGATTTCTATTTTTCTGTTAAATATCAGCAAGTTTGGTGGAATTAATAGTAGTGGTAACAATGCGATTACCCTTGATGGCAAGGAGATATCAGTCTGTAATATGTTCTGTTACCTTGGGCTCCGTAATTCAAAAGGATGGTAAACTAGATGGAGATGTATCCCATAAAATCAAAGCAGGGTGGACGAAATGGAAGAGTGCATCAAAATTTCTATATAGTCGAGGTATGCCGACTAGACTGGAGGGTGAATTTTATGGACAGCAATTAGGCCTGCAATAATGTATCGAAGAGTGTGGGGCACTGAAACAATGTCACATTCAAAAGATGAGTGTGACACAGATGTGTATGCTGCATTGGATGTATGGACCATAGTCAAATAATTCGCGGAACGCTTCGGTACGGGAACGAAGATCCGGAACGTGGTTCGCTAAGTCTAGCGTATCCGGTACGTGAAGGGGTAGGCTTCTTCGGTACGCTATTTCACTACGCGGTACGTTGTACCATTGATTACGGTACGGTGTACCGTAAAACATATACAACTTATAATGTATGAATATAATAATATTAATAATATGGAGTATTGAACAATTAATGTAACATTCCAAATTTCAATTGTTCCCAATTCATAGACTGAATAAACTAAATCTGATAAAATTAAATTTTTATTTGATATAGGTATTCAATATTAATGAAGTAATAAAAAATTCAGTTGTTAAAAGAGAATATACTGCGTAGTTCAAAATCATCACACACACAATTTACTGTGTAGTTCAAAAAAGATGGAAAAGTTGTAGTAGCTGGAGTGAACTGACTGGGAAAAAACAAAAAGCAAAAAAGAACGGTTTGCCAATGAGAAAGAATGAGAGGGCCGCAGAGTAAAAGACTAAAATACTGTAAAACGAGACCTGCGATGGAGACCTGCGATGGAGAGACCTGCGATGGAGAGACCTGTAACGGAGACCTGCGATGGAGAGACCTGTGTCAGGGACCTGCGACGATGATACGTGCGATCCGCGACCTTCAACCTCCGTACCGAAGTCGCGACCCAGAAGCGACCAGCACGCAAATGTACCGCGATCCGGTACGCGCGATTTGGAATGCAAAACGCGGGTATCTCAGCGATTTCTGTATCTATGGTATGGACGTATCAGAAAAACCGTTTGAGGAATGAGATGATGAAACAAAAGGTGGGAGTAACACCTATAGAAGATAAGATACAAGAGTCCCTATTGCGTTTATTTGATCATGTGCATAGAAGACACAGTGATGCACCTCTTAGACGAGTAGAGAGGTTAGCAGAAAAGGCAAGGAGGAAAGGCGAGGAGGAGAGTTAGAGGAAAATCCAAACAAACATGGATTAGAGGAATCAAAACTATATGCTTCTTCTTGGGTTGGATGAGAGTGTATTTAGAGAGAGCAAAGTGGAGGATGAATATTTTTGTGGATAATTGATCTATTCTTTCTTTTCTCTCTCTCTTTTCCTTTAATTTTTTTATCTTCTTTATCTTTCTTATGTTCTTATGTTATTTTTATAATTTAACTTTCGTATGTTCTTTTTCTTAAATATATCTTTATCTTTATATTTATCTTATTCTTATTATCTTACCTTATCTTTTTTTTCTACTTAACTTTTTTTGCTCTGATATCATGAATCGATTCATGTTAACCGACCCCAAAATCTTTTGGGAATAAGGCTTGGATTTTGTAGTTTTTGGAACAACGTTATACAAAAAACTATGTACATATGTATATATATCCTTATATTTTATACTCACACGCTTCTCCCACTTTCCGGGTGTACTCTACTATAAGAACTAAACATAGGTTTTACTCTATCCCATAGTAAACTTCTTTGTTTCTTTATTTGACTGACTCAGAATGAACTTCAATTTCATTTTAAGGAAATGGTTGGGTAGTTGATAATTTTCGAAATCTTTTTCGAAGTTTAAACAAACACCAATCATAGAATTGAACTGTCTAAATAAGCATGTCTAATTCCAAAGGGATATCTAAGTCAGCATGTCCAATCATACAAACATTTTTTATGAACTTGATATTGGGGCGGAAAGAGTACAATATTTTCATTATTTTAACAAGGGATATTTTCTGGAGTAATCATTAGGTTTGAGTATTTTCACTCAAGAGACTTATATGATTGTCTCTTAAAATGACTTTGAGATATACTATTTCCAATTGCTTAACTAGATATATGAACTGTAAAAACACATGATGTTATTGTGATGAGCCTGTCTCATGAAGGCCTGACTGCCTGAGCAACTGTGGGGTTGCCAACTATGAAAACACATTTTGTCTGTACATTATATCTCCATCAAGGTTATTCTGAGCAAAATGCGTAGTAGAGAGTCATTATGACAAAATTCACCTAAGTGTTACCTCAAGAAATTTCAGTGTTTCAATCTCTAACTCAGGGTTATTTTAAGAAACATGGGAATGAGGTCATTTTAGATTACCTCATGAAATTTCCTGTTTTAAAAAATGTTAGGTACACGGTAAAATCAGGTAGTATACTCACAGTAAACTTAGTCTTACAATGGCGGAAAACAGAAGAAAGAGAAGAAACAGATCGAGACACTTCGAGTAGTCTCAACACTCCCAGTTTCAGTCCAACTAATTTCTGTCTAACCCTCTTCTTCCCCCACTTCCCACCTCTTATAATAAGACTATTCTCAAAGCCAGCCCAAAGCCATGTTCCTATCATATCTCCCCCCTTGAACAACCACCTTGTCCTCAAGGTGGGTGATAGGAAACAGCCTTGATCTTCAACATCATTTACATCCGGGCGCCTCTTCTTTCCCAGTATCTCACTGCTTGCTGAACCACAAGCTTCAGTACTTGTTCCTTCAAAATCACAAACGTTGCTGCTGCAGAAGATATGTTGAGTGCAGTTTCATTTGTTGCGGTAGCCTTCAAGCACTCACTAGCTACAAATGTTTCCTTGTTTTCATGAGACTCGAGGATTCTCACTTCTGAGGCTATCAATGTGCTATCAATGTGCTGGATGCAGATTTGATGTTGCTCAAGTTACTCAATTCAATGTTTACGACTTTACGCAGATGATTTATCATCTCACCCAGCATCGTTTCCATCTTCGTGACATGGCGTTCCACCCTTTCTGTGTTATTCTCCATCTGTGCAGGTGATGGGCCTTCTCCACTCCAGCGATCGTTGATGCTCTGATACCAATATTAGGTACATGGTAAAATAAGGTAATATATTCACGGTAAACTCAGGGTCTGTTTGGATGGATCATTGGAACTTGGAAGGGATTAGTAATGGAAGTGTTAGTATGTGTTAGTAGAGGCCCGGAAGGGAAGGTAAGTGCAGGTGTTAGACATAAATCTACCTTGTTTGGGAGAGTCAAATGAATGAAGTGTTTATAATGGAAGTGTTTTAATTTAAATTGACAAAAATGTCCTTTACCTTTTAAATTATTTAAGTATCCATAATTACATCCTCCACTACATGAAAAATCAAATTTCTTTTATTTCTCTATTGTTGATCGGCAATGTATACTAAATAAACTAACCCCCCACTTTTTTAATTTATTTTTCATGTATGAGAATCTATACAATCTACTTCCCCATCCCTATTTCTTGAACAAGAAAAGCATATTTACAGTAACAGTAAACATATGTATACACACATGTATACACTAACGGCAAACTATTGTAGATGCTACTAGCCACTTGACTGGCAGCACCTACTCTTCTAATTGCCATGCCAAGGAATTCAGAAACGGGTGTCGAGAATCTCTAGATGATATATACGTTAATATAACATCTATATATATATATATATAGGGAAGAGTTCAAATGAAAAGTGGTCTTCCCGTGCAAAGTGCAAAGTTTTCACTTTTTCATGTTTCGTGTGAAAGACATTATAGAATATTCTTTAGAATATGTTTTAGAATATTCTTCTATCTTTAGAATATGCTTTAGAATATTTTAGGAATATACTCTAGGATATTATTATTGTATAGAATCTTAAAGGAATATTCTATCTTTGTAATGTATATATATATGGGCTTGACCCTCCAATGATAAACACACAAAAATCATTCTTCTCATTACTATTCTATCTTTAATTCTTTCAACATGGTATCAGAGCAATCTGTTCCAGTTTAGCTTAGCAGTATTTTTCAGAATCTCAGTTCATGGCTCAGCCAGAACCTTAGCCCAAAATTCAGAACCTCAGACCAAAATCCACAGTTTCACAGAGCATCACCTCCACCCTAAGCAGTCACGCCTTCCGCCGCCGACCTTACACTTGAAATCCGTAGGCCACACGCGCCGTCAGAGGACCTCGCAGACCTAATCGCAGACCCAATCGCCGGAGAATCCATCGGAACTATTTTCCGGTGTCTTGAACGGTATTATCTTTCTGTGACTTTGCTTATTAAGTAACAACGACATTCAAGGATAGTATTTTGGTCGCTGTAAGTTTACTTAATACATAGCATCTTATTTCTGCAATTAAAAAAAAAGTCAAAAAAAAAAAAATTAAAAAAAAAATCAAAAAAAAATGTCTGGTTCTGATACAGACACTTCCACCGTACAACATGCTCAGCCTTTGGTAGTTTCCGAAGTTATTCCCATTAATTTTAAAATTACTGAGAATAAACTTTGTGGCTCTAACTATCTTGAATGGAGTAAAACTATCAAACGTTATTTACGAAGCATTGATAAATACATCCACTTAGTTGATGACCCGCCAAAGGAGGAGATTGATAGAGCTGCTAATGCTGTCTGGCTTCGTGATGATTCTAGATTATTTATCCAGATTCAGAACTCCATGGAGAATGACGTCATGGGGTATGTTAGTCATTGTGATACTGTGAAAGAACTCTTTGATTATTTGGAATTTATGTATTCTGGCAAAGGTAATCTTAACCACATCTATGAGGTGTGCAAAACCTTTTACAGGGCAGAAATGAAAGATAAGCCTCTCACAGCTTATTTTATGGATTTCAAGAAAACGTATGAAGAACTTAATACCTTAATGCCCTTTAGTCCAGATATCAAAGTGCAGCAGAAACAACGCGAACAAATGGCAGTCATGAGCTTTTTGGCTGGTCTTACGTCTGATTTTGAAACAGCCAAATCACATATCCTATCTAGTGATGTGGTCTCTTCTCTTCAAGATGCTTTCAGTAGAGTGCTTCGCACTGACACTTCATCCACATCATCAGCACCTCAGCCAAGCAATGCTTTTGTAGGACAAGTCCCAACATTCCCCAATGGAGGTGAGAAGTGGCCACGCACAGGACCGATTGGCAAAGGAGTAGTATGCAACTACTGTAAGAAACCCGGACACTTGATCAAAGATTGTCGAAAGCTAAAGTTCAAAAATCAAGGAAATCAAGTCGCTCACATTGCTTCCGCTACACAGCCATCTAATGGATCCATCATTATGTCTTCGGAGGAATATGACAAATTCCTAGGTTACCAGGAGGCTCTAAAGCATTCATCTACTCCTATCTCAGCTGTAGCTAATTCAGGTAATCCAAACACATGTCTTGTATCTTCATCCTCAAAATGGGTTATCGATTCAGGAACAACAGATCATATGACAGGTAATCCTAGTCTTTTTTCCTCATTCCACACACCTCTTCATTCTTCTAGTGTGACTTTGGCTGACGGATCTACGTCACCCGTTCTTGGTACGGGTACAATTGTCCCAACATCTACCTTACCTTTGTCACCCGTCCTAAGTCTTCCAAATTTTGCTTTCAATTTGATTTCGATCAGCAAAATCACACGTAAACTTAATTGTTCCGTAACCTTTTTTCCTGGATATTGTGTATTTCAGGATCTGTTGACGAATCAGGTTATTGGTAAAGGATATGAGTCGGCCGGTCTCTATCTCTTGGATACATCCTTACCCAAATCAATCTCTTGTCTTGGCATTGGAACTGTGTTAGAGGCTCACTATCGACTAGGTCACCCTTCTCTTCCGTTGTTAAAGAAGCTTTATCCTCAATTCAATAAGGTGTCATCTTTACAGTGTGATTCGTGTCAATTTGCAAAACATCATCGAAGTAGTCTAAGTCCTCGAGTCAATAAACGAGCACATGCTCCTTTTGAACTGGTTCATTCTGATGTTTGGGGTGCTTGCCCTGTTGTGTCCAGATCTGGTTTTAAATATTTTGTTACCTTTGTTGATGATTATTCTCGTATGACTTGGATTTATTTCATGAAACGTCGTTCCGAGTTATTTTCTCATTTTTGTGCCTTTTGTGCTGAAATCAAAACTCAATTTAATGTACATGTTCGTATTTTAAGGGGAGACAATGCTCAAGAGTATTTGTCTGCCTCATTTAAGTTGTATATGGCTCAACATGGCATAATTCATCAAACTTCATGTGTAGACACACCTCCCCAAAATGGAGTTGCTGAACGAAAGAACAAACATCTATTAGAAACTGCGCGGGCTCTTCTATTCCAAATGAATGTGCCAAAACATTTTTGGGCAGATGCTGTGTCTACCGCATGTTATTTGATCAATCGAATGCCATCTACTGTTTTAGATGGTAAAACTCCATATCAGTGCCTATTTCCAAATAATGAAAATTTTCCTATTCCTCCTAAAGTTTTTGGTTGCACTTGTTTTGTACGAGATGTTAATACCCATTTAACAAAGTTAGATCCCAAGTCATTAAAGTGCATTTTCTTAGGCTACTCTCGAGTTCAAAAGGGGTACAGATGTTTTTCTCCAAGTACAGGTCGGTATATTGTTTCAATTGATGTCTCCTTTTATGAAAATACACCATTTTCATCAACAGACACAAATATCTGTAGGGAGAATGATGATATACTCATTTACACAGTCACTATACCCGAGTCCAATACTTCAGCAGTTCTTCCCCATGTTACTTTTCCTGAGGCTAGGCCTCCGATACACTTGGTATACACTCGTCGACACAAAGTGCAAGATCACCCTCCACCTGTGGTTACTTCTCCTGAATGCTTTGGATCTTAATGGTACCTGGGATTTGGTAGACTTGCCTACAGGGAAGAAGTCTATTGGATGTAAGTGGGTCTTTGCTGTAAAGGTTAACCCTGACGGATCCGTTGCTCGATTGAAAGCCCGATTAGTTGCGAAGGGTTATGCTCAAACCTATGGCGTTGATTATTCTGACACATTTTCTCCTGTTGCTAAATTAACATCTGTCAGATTACTTATTTCTCTCGCAGCAACTCATGGTTGGCACTTACATCAATTGGACATTAAGAATGCATTCTTGCATGGTGATCTTCAGGAGGAAGTTTATATTGAGCAACCTCCGGGGTTTGTTGCTCAAGGGGAGTATGGGAAAGTTTGTCGACTTCGCAAGTCTCTTTATGGTTTGAAACAGAGTCCCCGTGCATGGTTCGGGAAATTCAGCCAATCAATTGAACGATTTGAGATATTAAAAGGCAAATCAGATCACTCTGTATTTTACAGACAAACGAAAACAGGTATTACATTACTTGTGGTGTATGTCGATGACATTGTGATTACAGGGAGTGATAATACAGGTATTTTGGCCCTAAAGAATTTTCTTCATAGTCAATTCCAAACGAAAGATTTGGGCTCATTGAAATACTTCTTGGGAATTGAGGTTACACGGAGTAAGAAAGGCATATTTCTATCTCAACGTAAATATGTGCTTGACTTACTAACTGAAACAGGGAAACTGGGGGCAAAACCAAGCAGTAGTCCCATGATTCCCAATGTACAACTCACTCATGAAGGTATGCCATTCGAAGATCCGGAAAGATATAGACGGTTGGTTGGAAAACTTAATTATCTCGCAGTTACCCGTCCAGATATTGCATACTCAGTGAGTGTAGTAAGTCAATACATGTCATCTCCGACAGTGGATCATTGGAATGCTGTAGAGCATATATTATGTTACTTGAAGGGGACACCGGGACGAGGTATTGTTTATCAGAATCATAATCACATGAGAATAGAATGCTTTGCAGATGCTGATTGGGCTGGATCTAAAGATGATAGAAGATCCACATCTGGCTATTGCGTCTTTGATGGTGGTAATCTCGTCTCTTGGAAAAGTAAGAAGCAGAATGTGGTTTCTCGTTCGAGTGCTGAATCAGAATATCGGGCTATGGCACAATCGGCATGTGAGATAATCTGGATAAACCATTTATTGAGTGAAATGGGATTGAAGACACCAATGCCTGCTAAACTCTGGTGCGATAACCAAGCTGCTATACACATTGCCAACAATCCAGTGTTTCATGAGAGAACAAAACATATTGAGATCGATTGTCACTTTGTTCGAGAAAAGATACAACAAGGATTGATCTCTACAGGACATGTGAAGACTGGAGAGCAACTTGGAGATTTGTTCACTAAAGCACTAAATGGAATTCGTGTTGGTTACTTATGTAACAAGTTGGGCATGATAAATATTTATGCTCCAACTTGAGGAGGAGTGTGAAAGACATTATAGAATATTCTTTAGAATATGTTTTAGAATATTCTTCTATCTTTAGAATATGCTTTAGAATATTTTAGGAATATACTCTAGGATATTATTATTGTATAGAATCTTAAAGGAATATTCTATCTTTGTAATGTATATATATATATGGGCTTGACCCTCCAATGATAAACACACAAAAATCATTCTTCTCATTACTATTCTATCTTTAATTCTTTCAACATTTCGCTTGCACTTTTTCTTGTTTGCGTTGCACTTTTTGGCCATTTTGATTTTAGGCAAATTCAGCCAAAATGACGGTGGCAATTTTGTAAATAAACCAACTTTTTTGAGCTGCCGCGAAAAAGTGCAACGAAAGCAAGAAAAGTGCAAGTGAAACATGAAAAAGTGCAAACTTTGCACTTTGCACGTTAAGACCACTTTTTATTTGAAGCATCCCCTATATATATATATATATATATATATATATATATATATATATATATATATCTTGAATATATATAGTCTGCCTATATTTTTATGAGAAATCTAACAGGATGAGATGAAGGCAGAGAGGAGAGGGGAGGGGAGGTTGTGAGGCAGAAGAAAAGAGTGAGGAGAAGAGAGACCATCAGACCTGCGGCAAAGAGATCAAAGTGAGATGTCGAAGCATTTTATGTTTTTAGGGTAAATGAGTAGGGTAATAATTGTCTAACACCTCAAAAACACTTCCAATCGGGGTGTTAAAAAGGTGGACAGTTGAGGTGTTGGGAATGTAATTATTAACACTTTCTAACACTTATTAACACTTCTTAACACCTCTTAACACCTCCAAACAAATGTTGGTATCAACACTTATTAACACTTCAATTACTAACACTCCCTGACCCTCGATCCAAACAGGCCGTCAGTCTTACAATGGCGGAAAACAGAAGAAAGAGAAGAAACAGATCGAGTCTCAACACTCCCAGTTTCAGTCCAAGTAATTTCTGCCTAACCCCTTCTCCCCCCACTTCCCACTCTTATAGTAAGACTATTCTCAAGGGCCAGCCCAAAATCATGAAATATATGGCCCAACACCCTTATTTGTACACTATTACATTATTTATTATAATTCTATTATTATTATTATTACAGGCTGTCCATGTCCCTATCAAAAAACTATATTCTTTAAAAAATTAAATATTCCCAACACATCATCATATTTAGTTTGTCACCTCACAGTTCTAGGTACTAACCTCACCACCACAACTAACTCTTCAGCTTTCTTCTCTCACAACTAAAGAAGGGAGCCTAAGTGCCACCTTAGCCCTAAGTAAGGTTTTGGTGATGGGCCAGGCCAAGGTCACATATATATTCACGTACCCCCAGGGCCGATCCTATCCAGTTTTGGGCCTATGAGCAATATACTATTTTGGCCTTATTTCCAAGATCGACATTAAATTGTACTTAAAATAAGAATTAGGAGGTATAATAAAACTATGACAAATTACTCTAAATAGGACTAAAAACGTTTGTATATTTCAAAATAAGACTATCATATTTTATTCACTATATAGGATTAATTATTGACATGTTTTGGCAATATCAAACTTTAAACATGATATTATTTTCCAAACTTGAAAGTAAATACTGCTATTTAGAAAATAAAAACATGACAATTCTATTTTGGAATTCTCAAACATTTTTACTCCTACATTTCAAGAATTCTCCCAACTATCTAATAAAGGTTATAAAGTAAAGATCAAATTCACTTTAATATTATTTGAATTACACATTTGGACAAAAGTAACAACACAAGTATCACAAAAGAACATTGTGAAGTGAAATTATCAAAAATTGCTTTATAATCAATCTTTTCCAAACTCTTATGCTCAATGGTTAAAATTGTTAATCTATTAATTTTTATGAGACATAGTCGATTGAAGATAATTGGGATGATGTTTGAGAATTAGGAGGTGCTGGTAGCATAAAGACAATAGTATAAATTGATAATTTTGTGATTAAAAGGAATAAAAAGCTTTAAAGGATAAACGATGTGAAGAGATTTGCTTTTATTGATTCAGCAACAAATGTGTTGACTTACAACCAGCTTTACTTAAAAATTAAAATTAAAAGTATATTCTATTTAAAAAAAATTAAAACTTGTCTGGCTTTGATCAAGACTTTTTACTTATGTTTTAAAATTTTTAAATTGTCAACAAAAATTACACATTAGGCCTAATTAATTAATTGAATTTATAATTAAAAGAAGAAGCCTACTCACATTACATACAAAAAAATTACACATTAAGCCTAATTAATTTTTTTCTACTTTTTTCGGGCTTAGGGCGGTCGCCCCTGCTGCCCTCCCCCTAGGGCCGGCCCTGCGTACCCCCTTCGTCCCATAGAAATGTTCTCACTTTACTTTTTTGGACGTCCCATGTAAAGGTTCACATTTCCATTTTAGGAAACAATTAACAATCTTAAATGATAAATTAATCATTAAATATTAAAAATAATACATTTATAACATCACAGTTATCAACACTAACCTCATTATATTATATACCTATTAAAATTATATCTCAAAATACACTCGAACTACCTTATTTAATTATTGTCTAAATAATCGTGCCGTTTTACCATGAGGACCTTTCAACGGGACTGAGGTAGTATATGAGAACAACAACATACATGCATTTGGAATATACATATATTGGACAATGCTTCAAATAACTCCATGCACTACCATTAATAAGAGAAAACACCTAAATAGAATTGATTAGATATATTCACTTCACGGGAACCGAGGATGAACCTACCTATCTATTATCTAAATCTATGTCAAATTGTCAACACATTTCACATTTTCATATATCCTATTGGAGATTTAGAGAGGCACTATACTTGCATAAAGCACTCTAGATGCATAAAAAGGGTTTAAATGCAGAAATGAGAAGAAAGCTCAAGGCAGATAAACTTACTTTGAAATCATCTATTAAAGCAAAATCGGGAAAGAAGGGCAAGATGTCTTCAATCTTCAATAATCCATCAGTTTCCTTGAGAAATGCAATCGCCTTCCGGATATTCTCTCTCTTTGTGCCCTTTTCCTGCTCAATGACATGCTTCGCAATTACAAGCCAAAGTTTTTTCCTCAAGTCTTCATCATCCTCAACTTTGTCTGCTTCAGCCATAGCAAGCTCTGGATCTACCTATTATTACATCGCACAGGATGAACAAGTGTTGTTGATAAAAAGGTAGAAGTAAAACATCAGAATTCATTATTCACAATCAAACCTTAAGCAAAATAATCTATCCACTCATTCACTGCTGAAAACAACTAAGCACCACCTTGACTTTATTTCTACTCAAGCTTAAATTAAAGTCCATCATAATAAATCTCAAAAGAGCATTCCAATAACTTGTTTTGTGAAATTCAAGAATGAAAACTGAAACATGGATTAGTTACCAATGAAATGATATATGAAGGATAGGGTTTCCAAAGTACACCATGAATAATTAAGTTGACTGTAGCAGTAACATCAATGTAAGCTATACATCTGGGAAGGGGCAATGAGACTGAGGGTATAAAACGTTCAATTAAAGGTATCAGTCTATACCTGTAAAGCAAGAGCAACTGCTTCTTCATGCATAGACATCATGCTGTAGATGTGAACACATGCACGCATCCGCTTTTCCTTGAGGCAGAGGCGCAAGGCATATTTGGGGTCGTAATAAAATTCGGGGCCACCTGGCTGGCCCCTCCCAAACTTGCATTGCAAGAAACGCAGGAGAGCACTCTCATCCTCCTAAAAAAGAAAAAAGGAAATGGTCACTGCTAGTGTAGAGTCATTGTCTTGGTCTTTTTTACAAAAGTAAGCTAACAGAGACCTGATTGAGTTGCATAAAAGGTAAGTTAGGAGTTCCACAACAGTAAGAAATGAATGTCTTTGAGGCTTTTTATCACAACAGTAGAGTTTGGAGGAAAATCATGTATACTCATGCCATCTGATTACTGATTAAAAAGACACCTAGGGTATTTTTAAAAATGCACATTCAGTGAACTGTTCATATGGCAACTTCAATAGGGCTGCAGAAAGCAAAGTCAGATAAAAAACACGAACAAAGGTGAAACTAAGACATGTAATTTTCTGTGGGGCAATACTTTCGGAAATGAATAAAAAACTCACTCTGTAATGGGACTAACTGACTAAGTTTATCTTGCAATAGTACCAACAACATCCAAGCCTTAATCCCAAAAGAATTTGGGGTCGGCTAACATGAATCGATCTATGATATCGATGCCAAAAAGAGAAGGCGGACAAGAAAAGGAAAAAAAGTAAGATAAAATGAATAAAAAATAAAGATACATAAATATAAGATAACAATAACACAAGAATATAACCAAGATAAAAGAAAAATAAATAAAAGAGCATAAAAAAGCTAGAAGATAAAAATAACATAAGAATATAAAAAGATAAGGAAGATGAACGATAAAAGAAACAAGAGAGGAAAGGTAGACAAGACATCAATCGTCCACGATGTGCGCCCTCCACTTTGCTCTCTCCAAAGCCATACTCTCATCCAACCCAAGTAGACGCATATCAGTTCCGATTACTCTAATCCAAGTCTGTTTGGGTCTTCCCCTCCCTCTCTTCTATGACTCTTCTCCCCACCCCTCAAGTCGTCTAACAGGTGCATCGCTCGGTCTTCTATGCACATGCCCAAACCACCGCAAACGAGACTCCTGCATCTTATCTTCTATAGGTGCTACTCCCACCTTTTGTCTGATTACCTCATTCCTCAGGCGGTCTTTTCTGGTATGTCCACACATCCAACGCAACATACGCATCTCTGTCACACTCATCTTTTGAATGTGGCATTGCTTCACCGCCCAACACTCTACGCCATACATTAATGTCAGCCTAATTGCTGTACGATAACATTTACCTTTCAGTTTAGTCGGCATACCTCGATCGCATAGAAATCCTGAAGCACTTTTCCATTTCATCCACTCAGCTCTGATTCTATGACATACATCTTCATCTAATTCACCATCCTTCTGAATTATGGATCCCAAGTAACGGAACATATCACACACCGGTATCTCCTTACCATCAAGAGTAATCCCACTGTTGCTACTGCTTCTACCTCCACCGAACTTGCACTCCATATACTCACTCTTGCTTTGGCTCAGTTTGAAACCCTTGCTCTCCAATGTTTGTCGCCATACCTCCAACTTTGCTTTAACACCAGATTGTGTCTCATCAATCAATACAATATCGTCGGCAAACATCATGCACCACGGTATATCTTCTTGAATTGACTTCGTAAGTTCATCCATGACTAAAGCAAATAAGAAAGGACTCAGAGCAGATCCTTGGTGCACTCCAATAGTAATAGGGAACTCTGCGGTCCTCCCTACACTAGTGCGGACACTTGTAGTACAAGCATCATACATATCCATGATGATGTTGATATACTTACGTGATATGCCTTTTCTAGTTAAGGCCCACCAAAGAACTTCTCGAGGTACCCTATCATATGCCTTTTCTAAGTCAATGAACACCAAATGCAGATCCTTTTTAGTGTCTCTATACTTCTCCACAACTTGTCTAAGAAGGTGAATGGCCTCAGTTGTTGAGCGTCCAGGCATAAAACCAAATTTATTCTCCGAAATTTTCACACTTTTACGTAGTCTTTGCGCAACCACTCGCTCCCAAAGTTTCATGGTGTGACTCATAAGCTTAATCCCTCGATAGTTAGCACATTCTTGTACATCACCCTTATTTTTAAATAAGGGAATGAGAGTACTCTTCCGCCAACTCACTGGCATTTTGTTGTTTCTCCAAATAATGTTGAAGAAGCGTGTTAGCCACTCGATGCCTTTCTCTCCCAAACTTCTCCAAGCCTCGATCGGTATGCCATTTGGGCCCACTGCTTTCTTCTGGCCCATTTTTCTCATAGCCTCTTTAACTTCTGTTGTTTGAATCCTTCTCACGAAGTCCCTATTTACCATACACTCTGGTATAGTAAGATCATCAATACCTTGGACTTTATTCCCGTTGAACAAGGTATCAAAGTATGACCTCCACCTCTCTTTTATTTCTTCGTCGTCCATTAATACCCTTTGATCGACATCCTTCACACACTTAACTTTTCCAATATCTTGAGTCCTACGGTCACGAAGGCGAGCAAGTCTGTAGATATCTTTCTCCTTCTTTAGAATCCAACTTTACATACAATTCCTCATTCACTTTTCCTTTGGCTTCCTTCACAGCTTTCTTTGCTCTTCTTCTAGCCTCTTTGTACTCCTTTATGTTCTCGTCGCTCCAACTTTTGCCCAATTTCTTATAGGATTCTCTTTTGGCCCTTATTGTCTGTTTCACCTCATCATTCCACCAAGATGTGTCCTTTTTTGGTGGCAGACATCCTTTAGATTCTCCGAGTATCTTCTTCGCCACTTTGTTAATGGTGGACTCCATTGATAACCACACATCATCCACGTGTGCATCAATATCAATAGACCAAACATCTTCCTCCAACATTTTGTGTGCAAAACTTTGTTGGAGATTCCCCTCGAGCCTCCACCATTTTATCTTTGGCTCCCCTTGTACCTTAACTCGTCCCCTCTTTTTACCTCGAAAATCAAGCACAAGCATCCTATGCTGAGTGACAGCACTCTCACCTGGGATAACCTTACAATCAGTGTAGCTAGTTCTCCAAGTCGTCCGTACTAAAAAGTAGTCAATTTGGGTACTATTAGCTCCACTTCTGTAGGTGACAAGGTGAGAGTCTCTTTTCTTGAACCAAGTGTTCATCACAGCCAACTCATATGTCGAGGCAAAATCCAGAATGTTCTTCCCCGCTTCATTTCTAGTGCCAAAACCATGTCCGCCATGGACACTCTCAAAACCATCACGACTTGGGCCCACATGCCCGTTGAGGTCGCCTCCTATGACCAGTTTCTCTCCCATTGGCACTCGCCGCACCACTTCCTCAAGATCCTCCCAAAATTGTTGAGTGATAGATGCATCCAATCCCACTTGTGGTGCATAGGCACTAACCACGGACACGATCCCATCCCCTATTATCAACTTAATGCTCATGATGCGATCGTTCTTCCTAAACACTTCAACCACACCGTCAACATAATCATGTGCCACCATAATGCCTACTCCATTTCTGTTCCTCTCTCTCCCCGAGTACCAAAGCTTAAAACCTCCAGGATTAATCTCGCGTGCCTTTTCTCCAACCCACTTAGTTTCTTGCATGCACATTATGCTGATATTCCTCCTCTTCATAACCTCGGCTATCTCCGAAGATCTTCCCGTAAGAGAGCCAACATTCCATGTCCCAAAGCGCAATCTAACACCCTGCCTTCTCTTCTTCACCCCACATCGACCCCCACCATGCCCTTGCATATTTGACACCATCCACGGGCATTGGAGTGGCGCATCACTTTCGAGCGACGACCTAGCAGCCTTAGCATTCTTATCAACACACCCAGGTCTATGAAGTGTAGCGCGCCCTTGCTCATTTGACACCACCCCCTGGCGGAGGGATGACGCGTCGCTTACGGGCGACGACCTAGCTGTAGCGATATTCATATTTCGATTCATGTCAAAGTACCACAAAGAAAAAATAAGGCAGACCATTAGTACGCAAACCCGTGTTAGCAAAGTTTCTCAATCAAAACAGATTATTGCACAGGGCAATTCTAGATGTGTTAAAATCAGGAGTTTAAATCTCTAGAGATAATAACTAGGGGAAAATTGTCTATAGTTGTTAAAAAGTTAAATTATACATTTATACTGAAATTTTGAGAAAAAATGGTATTGTCAATGAAGCCTCATAATAGCTCTCACCCAACTAACCTTTTTCGCATATAGTGAAAGTAGCAGGTTATGCACACCAGGATCCTCATTCTGTAGTCGGTGCACACAATACTCCAGATATTTTATAACTTCGTGTGTTTCATTCCTTCAAACAGTATGCAGTAGAGAGATGATAAACCACAGATCACCAGATATCATATTGAAATTTAAGATGCACCATTTAATGATACCAGTATACCACCCAGAAAAAATGAGTAGATACAACAACTATGAAGTATACTAGAAACAATATACAATAAGATGAAAAGTATGAAATCGAATGCACTACGATAAGAGATTAATTAAAGCATAGTGTGAAAAGACATCTAGCATTACTATATGAAAATAAAAAGATTAACTAGTTTGTAAACAACAAAAACAAGCACGCTCATCTCCGATGCTACTCAATATTTCCTATCTATTTAACTTCCCACCTACTGGGCGCACCTAAATTAAAATACACACTAAGGAGATATACACATCTCCATTGCACTAACACGTCCAAATTCTTACCACTATGACCAAACAGTAACTTGTAAGCATCCGAGTCAAGAATCCATGAACATAAAGGATCAGTGTTTAAAATAAGGTGAGGATTGGATAAAATGGGTACGGCACTACCACGTTTCGTGTTCTTATGCGAGAAATGGGATGATGAGACTTGAGATGGCTAGGATATGAAGGTATGTCCTTAACAAAGGTCACAGGACCCTTGGAAACTTGACCTTGTGAATCTCTTATACTCTTGTGTGATTAAGCCCTATACTTATCACTCAGAAAGTCTTAACGTGCAAGTAAATAGAACCCTAATCTATCACTCCTTGAAATAATACTTTGTTTTCATCCGATTCGTTAACAGATCCTTTACCAATAACCCGATTCGTCAACAGAACCCTAATCTATCACTCCTTGAAATGAGACCGGCCCGACTCATATCCTTTACCAATAACCCGATTCGTCAATAGAACCCTAATCTATCACTCCTTGAAATGAGACCGGTCCGACTCATATCCTTTACCAATAACCCGATTCGTCAATAGAACCCTAATCTATCACTCCTTGAAATGAGACCGGCCCGACTCATATCCTTTACCAATAACCCGATTCGTCAACAGATCCTGAAATACACAATATCCAGGAAAAAAGGTTACAGAACAATTAAGTTTTTGTGTGATTTTGCTGATCGAAATCAAATTGAAAGCAAAATTTGGAAGACTTAGGACGGGTGACAAAGGTAAGGTAGATGTTGGGACAATTGTACCCATACCAAGAACGGGTGACGTAGATCCGTCAGCCAAAGTCACACTAGAAGTATGAAGAGGTGTGTGGAATGAGGAAAAAAGACTAGGATTACCTGTCATATGATCTGTTGCTCCTGAATCGATAACCCATTTTGAGGATGAAGATACAAGACATGTGTTTGGATTACCTGAATTAGCTACAACTGAGATAGGAGTAGATGAATGCTTTAGAGCCTCCTGGTAACCTAGGAATTTGGCATATTCCTCAGAAGACATAATGATAGATCCATTAGACGACTGTGTAGCGGAAGCAATGTGAGCGACTTGATTTCCTTGATTTTTGAACTTTAACTTTCGACAATCTTTGATCAAGTGCCCGGGTTTCTTACAGTAGTTGCATACTACTCCTTTGCCAATCGGTCTTGTGTGTGGCCATTTCTCACCTCCATTGGGGAATGTTGGGACTTGCCCTACAAAAGCATTGCTTGGCTGAGGTGCCGATGTGGATGAAGTGTCAGTGCGAAGCACTCTACTGAAAGCATCTTGAAGAGAAGAGACCACATCACTAGACAGGATATGTGATTTGGCTGTTTCAAAATCAGACGTAAGACCGGCCAAAAAGCTCATGACTGACATTTGTTCTCGTTGTTTCTGCTGCACTTTGATATCAGGACTAAATGGCATTAAGGTATTAAGTTCTTCATATGTTTTCTTGAAATCCATAAAATAAGCTGTGAGAGGCTTATCTTTCATTTCTGCCCTGTAAAAGGCTTTGTACACCTCATAGATGTGGTTAAGATTACCTTTGCCAGAATACATACAACAACATCCAAGCTTTAGTCCCAAAAGATATTGGGGTCGGCTAACATGAATCGATACATGATATCACAACCAAAAGGAAAAGAATGAATAAAGATAAAAAGATAAGCTATTATGAAAAGATCATATGAAAAAGATAAATATATATAGAAATGATAAAATAAAAAGGCTGCAAATAATGCATATATATATATATATAAGGATAAAAAAACTAGGAAAAAAAGATGTGGAAAAAGATTATCAAGATCACTCCTTCACGTGAATACCCTCCCTCCACTTAGTTCTCTCCAAAGTCATGCCCTCATCCAACCCCAGAAGAAGCATATCACTTCGAACTCCCCTAACCCACGTCTGTTTGGGTCTTCCTCTCCCTCTCTTCCCTGCCTCTTCTCCACACATCTCAACTCGCCTAACAGGTGCATCACTCGGTCTTCTACGCACATGACCAAACCACCGTAGGCGCGACTCCCGCATCTTGTCTTCAATAGGTGCTACTCCCACCCTTTGCCAGAATACATAAATTCTAAATAATCAAACAGTTCTTTCACAGTATCACAATGACTAACATACCCCATGACGTCATTCTCCATGGAGTTCTGAATCTGGATAAATAATCTAGAATCATCACGAAGCCAGACAGCATTAGCAACTCTATCAATCTCCTCCTTTGGCGGGTCATCAACTAAGTGGGTGTATTTATCAATGCTTCGTAAATAACGTTTGATAGTTTTACTCCATTCAAGATAGTTAGAGCCACAAAGTTTATTCTCAGTAATTTTAAAATTAATGGGAATAACTTCGGAAACTACCAAAGGCTGAGCATGTTGTACGGTGGAAGTGTTTGTATCAGAACAAGGCATTTTTTTTTGACTTTTTTTTTGACTTTTTTTTTTGACTGTTTTTTTTTTTACTTTTTTTTTAATTGCAGAAATAAGATGCTATGTATTAAGTAAACTTATAGCGACCAAAATACTATCCGTGAATGTCGTTGTTACTTAATAAGCAAAGCCACAGAAAGATAATACCGTTCAAGACACCTGAAAATAGTTCCGATGGATTCTCAGGCGATTGGGTCTGCGATTAGGTCTGCGAGGTCCTCTGACGGCGCGTGTGGCCTACGGATTTCAAGTGTAAGGTCGGCGGCGGAAGGCGTGACTGCTTAGGGTGGAGGTGATGCTCTGTGAAACTGTGGATTTTGGTCTGAGGTTCTGAATTTTGGGCTAAGGTTCTGGCTGAGCCATGAACTGAGGTTCTGAAAAATACTGCTAAGCTAAACTGGAACAGATTGCTCTGATACCATGTTGTAAGAATTAAAGATAGAATAGTAATGAGAAGAATGATTTTTGTGTGTATTTCATTGGAGGGTCAAGCCCATATATATATACATTACAAAGATAGAATATTCCTTTAAGATTCTATACAATAATAATATCCTAGAGTATATTCCTAAAATATTCTAAAGCATATTCTAAAGATAGAAGAATATTCTAAAACATATTCTAAAGAATATTCTATAATGTCTTTCACAAGATGGCTAGGATATGAAGGTATGTCCTTAACAAAGGTCACAGGACCCTTGGAAACTTGACCTTGTGAATCTCTTATACTCTTGTGTGATTAAGCCCTATACTTATCACTCAGAAAGTCTTAACGTGCAAGTAAATAGAACCCTAATCTATCACTCCTTGAAATAATACTCTGTTTTCAACATGGCACACTTACTAAGTATAGTTAGAAAATAAAAGTGTGTGGTTAAAATTTAGGTTGAGATACCAACCACGCATTTCTTTTAATAGAAAGGAAAAAGGAAGACGGTTTTTTGGACGGACGGAAAAGGAAAACAACAAGAATATTATTTCAGGACAGAGGGAATAAAAATATTACTATAAGAAATGCAGAGTATCTACTAAAGATGAAACTGTACATATTACATTGCATGTGGTTCACTTGAATAACGCATCATGGCAGGAATGAGTTTTCTTGGATTCAAATTTTTTGTTGTCATCCATGACTCAATAGTTTCATATGCATCAAGCATGATAAGGTCTGGTGCAAACTTGTACTGCAAGAGAAGAAGCATTCACTTTCCAACATCATAGTTTTGAGGGTAATGATATCAGCAGCTCATCTTAAAACCTACTCATTACAACACATGGTAAAATGCATAAAGGCGGTTCAACATTGGGGGGGAGGTTGACAGCGAATGCAAATACTATTACCTGAAGATCTATAGATACATTAGGCTTCTGAAGGACTTGTAGTGCTTTCTTTGCTTCTCCTTGCTATGTATGAATATGAAAAGAATAAGCACTAATAAGATTTGAGGATGTGACTAACAACAAGAAGTTCAGAACCAGAGAAACCAAACCATAGTTGAACAAAAAGAACAAGAATAAATGCAGTATGGGCTCCTTTCCTAACTAAATCAAATCAGACACGAAGCCAACAGCATGGTTGACACCCAACATAAAGTAACTTTTCTTGAACTAAGCATTAGCATGATGTCAGCAAAAGAACCAAAACGGATCATTTAAAGGATCACTGTGAACTATCGACTAATTTTACCTTCAAATTGTTATAGGCACCAAACACTAATTTCAACAATACCTAGAATATATCATCAATTGCACAAGGAACTATGAATACATAAATAAAGGAGGTGAGGAGACAAGAGTAAATTAGTGAATATTGAGAAGATGTACACACGTCTGGAAAAAGAACAATAGTTCACGAATCTAAGCTTGGTTTCCACATCTAAAGACACTCTAGTACTTCACAAAAATCATGGTGCATGGGTTGGAAAATCATAGGATAGAAAGAAACCGCCAAACCTATGCAAAAACATGTCCAATTGAGAATCAACATTTTAGAAGCAAATGAACGAAAAAGATACCTGAATATAATGGTGAATGACAATCTCATATTGCTCCTTCAGGCCAGCAAAAAAGACCAATTCATCTACTCTAGCATAGCTGTGAAGGAATATAGTTTTTTATTGTTTGAAATATACACTGTGAGCGGGTAATAAATGTCCGTTGATATTTTTCAAAAGAAACTTACAACATATATGATACTCTCTCCAGAACCATTTTATGTTTAGTTTGGTTAATGAGTCTTCTCTAATTATTTTATTATTTGGTTTAGTATTAGTGATATAGTACTTTTTGAGTTAGATGAGAGTATGACTTTGTAGAGAGCAAAGTGGAGTGAGAGTATGCATGTAGTGGATTTATCTGATTTTGTTCGTCTCCTTTTTCTCTATTCATCTTTTAACTTTGAAATCATATGTCGATTCATGTTAGCCTATCCCGAACTCTTTTGGGCTTAAAGTTTGGATGTTGCTCTTGTTTTAGTAGTAGTGAATATAACTAGTGAGTTTGTATGTATTCCAAAGCCACACGGAAAAGTTTATAAAACATAAAGATTCTAAATTAAAACTAACCAGATATGTAAATATGTTAAAAGAAAATTTGGAGCAAAATAAAGGTTGGTTTTGCTAGAAACCGTAAAATGAGATCCTGATTCCTGAGACATGAAGGTGGATAACTAGAAACTGTATTTTTGCAAAAAAAAAATTAAAGTATTACAAAAAAAAATAAAAGTTGTTGGCGACGACTAGACGACTACAATATGCTACTTGCTTTGGACTTAAAAAAGGGTTTCTCCTTCAGACACTTTTTTTTGCAACAAAAAAAGAGTTATGTTAGATACTCCGTACAATGAAACTGATTGTTCATGTAGTTTGACAAAAAGGACTTAATGAGAAGACAAGTTATAAATGATTAATATAGTAAAACCAACAATTGATTTAAAAAAAGTATGACTTACGGAAGTTGAACCTTATCAAAAATAAAAGGTTGTACCGTGGTCAAACATGATGCTTATAATACATTTACACCACACAAAATTGTGGAAGCTTTTAATTTCCACACTTATGAAAATATATTCAAAAATATATTCAAAAATTCCCGAAATAGGAGTAAAAAGGTTTGAAAATTCCAAAACAAGACTGTCATGTTTTTATTCCCAAAATAGGAGTAATTACTGCCATGTTTGGAAAATACGGTCATGTTTAAGGTCTGGTACTGCGAAAATATGGCAGTAATTAGTCTTATTTTGGTAATAAAAACATGATAGTCCTATTTTGGAATATACAAACGTTTTAGTCCTATTTAGGGTAATTTCTTAAGAGAGAATTATAATTGAAAATACATAGTTTATTTAGGAAACCACCAATAAACAATAAAAGTTAGGAGAAAATTCCTCATAAGAAACAGCCTTTCACCAAAACTATGGATATATCGCTAGCGCTATTTTTTCACAAACCAAAGCAGCATTGTTTGAAAAGGGAAGATGCTCAAGGCATATGGCAACAGGCATTGCAATTTTTTTACCTTTCAAGTAACTTCAAGGTTGTCGCTTCGACTAATACATCCTTGCAATCACTTAGAAATGCACGAAACTCCAAAATTATAGATTCATATTCCGAGTTGTGAGTCTCTGAAGCACTCTCGTCTTCTAAAAGTAACCGGTTGATCTGTGAGAGAGATGATGGAAATCAAGAAAAGGATTCAATAAAAATATATAGAATCCAATAAAAATCTATGACTAATGAACTCTGTATATTTACATGACATGCAGCAGAGAATTCTTTGTTTACCAGTGACATTTATTGTTTTCTTACTGGGAAATGTGATGCGTGAAAAAACAAAAGCACTTCTGGTTCTTTGACTGTCTAGTCTCCTCATTTGTATGATTGTAAAAATAAAGACTTAAACCTATGGAAAGGTTTGGGTTTGCTGACTCATACACACCTTTTCTCGCATATATGTGTGGCATCACAATTACAGTCCACCCGTAGAGTTCTAGTTCAAAGTCCTCAGCCAAGAATTTAATTTCATCTTTCATTGAAAATTTGAACTTTCACAGGTCAACATATCTACTCGAAGGCAATACATCTCCATAAGAGATTTCATATCACACAAAATATTTCAAGGATCACACCTATTTGTACCCTCAATATTTCCCTTGAAAGCATCATCAAGAGGAATAGAAGTATAAAACCAATTCATCCTTATCAAATTTAAACCTATGAAAAATCTTACTCGAACCCTCCACACTTCCTAAAACTCTTGCACATGAAAATTTCATAGTTAGAATCAACCAAGTAACAATTAACACGAAAGACAACATATGACACATACTTTTAAGAAGTTATGTCTATGCTTATATTCTATATCAAAATTTAAGCATACAAAACAACATTACCCTAGTGCCACAAAGGCTCCCACCTACGGTGGGGTAAGGGGGGTCGGATGTACGCAGCCTTACCCCTGTACTAAAGCACAAAGAGACTGCTTCTGGATGACCGCGACAATTTTTTAAGCATAACGAGGAGAAAATAAAGAATGATTTTTGTGGCTACACGATAGTGGGGCTGCACCTTATCCAAATATAGTTCAGTAGCCCATGTAGAAATCATTGTAATTTGGCACTTGTCATCCTTAGCAAGGCTGTCAAGCTTCCGCAAAAGAAAGGTTCTTAGAGCATCCTGCAAGCTTGAAAGTTGAAACTATATTAAATTGAGTTGAATTGTATATGACTTTCACTAATATAATGACTTGAATAAATAGTAGAATTACTTTTACCTGTTCGCCCATGCTAATAAACTTCAGTGTTATCTCTTCAAATGATAACACATAAGTAATCTGCAATGCAAATTCTATTGCATCAGGATTTACTCAATTTCTAGAGAATAAACAGCTACATAAAGCGCCGTGTTTTTCAATAATTTATTTAACTGTTTTCCCGATTGAAATGGTCAAAAAAATTATTTAAGCTAAAATTTTGTGGAGATGTTCTACACTTCATGAAGAATATGGTCAAAAAATCATCAAAAAATTCGACTCAGAAGACCCTCAAACAGGCTTGGCCGGACGGCGGGTCTGGTCAGTCCGGACTGACTAGATCATTTATATATATATACTATCGTATATATATAAATATATATATACATATATCATATACATATATAAAATGTATTAAAGCTTACCACAAAAGTGGAACAAAAAAGGCAAACAAAAAACTGTTAGCACAAATGACCAAAATAATTACTTTGGCATAAAAGTACGCTGCTCGCATGAAGTCCTTTGCAGAAAAAGCAGATTCGGCCTGCATACAAACATTAATTCTATGATGATATAATTATTAAATATAGAGACGAGATGTAAATTCAGTGCTATATATTTCGTGTGTCATCCATTGTTGCATAAGTTCTAACATACAAAGTGAACGAAATTATCCTACAAACTAAAAAAGACCAAAAAACTGGCAGAAGAAAATGATATTTATAATTAAATCAACCAGAACCTGCACAAGATAGACTTGATCCCTCTGCAGGTGATCATTACAAATAGCCAATGCTGCAGCATATTCCTTCAAGTCCAAGTATACCTTCCACATATCCCGGGCTTCATCATTAACAGACACCTAATTAACCATCTCATAGTTATAAACAAATCGATCCAAATAAACTGCATCAAGTGCATCAATCATCGATACTTGATATTTAATAGCAATAAGATGACACGCCTGGAAGATAGAGTTTTGGTCATAAGCATAAAACAGCCCAGCAGATGCATCACTGCATAATCCACTAATTCCTGTTGAAACTGCATCATGTGTTTGATCAAAAATAAGTTCTTCTACAATCTGCTTACTAATCCGGTTCACTATCTGCCAATAATAATAAAAAACAGCACTTATATATAATAAATACAACAAGAATTGTGAAATCAATTTATTAAATTAGATGTTCAAGAGTTTTTTCTTAAAACAAGTACTAAACGAGTGAAACATTTCCAGTTATGCTCCTTGAAAATTACACTGAATGCAGATCTAGTTAGCAAAATCTATATTAAGAAACATGATTTTGAGTGAACATAGGACTAGTGGCTCATGGGGAACCAAAAACATCTCTAGAATACAAAAAAAAAAATTGTTAAATGTTATTCACATTTATATATTTACATGACAAAAGACAGAGTATATATATTTAGATTTTCAACAAATGGAGTACGAAAAAGAATAATATAGTTGTGAGATTCAAAAGTCTTGTAAGGAAACATAAGGAGAAAATACCATTGTTCTCTCGGGTTAAATGGAAAAACAACATAAAATTATGACCAAAATGCCATTGTGCCAATACACATGCATATACTCAATACTCATAAACATATAAGGCATAATTGAGGCAACCACCACTCTTTGACGAAAAGACTTACTTTATGAGGCCTAGCCTCACAAAATCCCTAATAAATATGAACCCAAGAAGATAGTATTCAAAAAGTTTAGGTTATAACTTTAAACCCATACAGATAGGGCCATAAAATGAATGATACAAATATACAACTACAGCCCATTGTACCAAAGCCTGAACAAATCTCTATGGGCACTAACTGTATGCCAGAACATGCCAGATTGGCAGTTTAATAAGGCTTAATAAGGCTTAAATTTTGTTCTTCATATCTTAATTCAGCAAAATATATGAACAAAACTTTTTACAGCAAATATATTGTTTTTAAGTCACTGCAAAAAAATTTGTTCTTCATATCTGTAATTCAAGTTGTTCATTTTAGTCCCACGCTGACCCTACCAACCCTTGTTTGACATGTCTTCCTTTTCCAAGTCATCCCAAAAGTACTTAAATTTTAATTCCAGAGAGCTATTGGGACCTATATTAAAGACATGTTCTCCAAAGACCAGTGACGCCTTATCGCCAAACCATGCCTGGATGACGCCTCGATGATGCCTGGGTTACATGTTCTTCTTTTGGCGAGGAGAGGCGACACAACCCCGCGACCACTCCTTAGCGCCAGGACGCCTAGTCACCGACTAGGCGATGCAATGACATATATGCCCCTTTCTCAGGCGCGCATGAGTAAGGACAGAGTGTGTGGTAAAGGTTCGTGCAGGTTTGTCATTTGTGAGGACAATACTAAGTCTACAGAGCATTCAAGAAGTGACCTTAGACCCTGTAGGATCGGGGTGTTACACTGATAGGGACCTAGACAATACTATTAATAAGAATAATATTAAGTATTTGATATTGTACGATAAGTGGTTTATAGGCCCAGTGACTTAGTAATTGAGGATGGCCCATTTAGGAGATGAGTTTAATAAGAGCAGGAGGGGGGAAAGAGGGGAAGGCAGAAATTGGGTTTAGACTGGGACTTGGGAGAGGGAGACTGCTCTAAGTGTCTCAAATATGTTCTTCTTTGTTATTGTTGTTCTCAAATCTGAGGTTGGATCAATATATTACTATATTTCTACTGCGTTTGTTGAGGTTCCTATCATACACTTTATGACTTCAAGGTGGGAAAAAAGTACATTTATGGGAGTAATCTCATGAATGTCCTAATAGTACAAGATGTGGGACGGATACTGAGTTAACAGCTATGTAGTTTATTTTTGACCATCATACATCCAATGTGTCTCTCAGATCAATTGCGATTTTGTAAGAAATGTATGATGTGCATTTGAAAATAAAAAAATGGGGTTTATTGCAAAATGGAAAAAGGCATAAAAACATGGTAGACTCACCTTTACTTTGTTTCCAATAAGGAGAAGAAAATGAAACTCAGACACTGCCATTGAACTTGGTTTAACAGATTCAGTCCCTTCTAATAGATTTGAATAGTCTAAAAGAGCTTTATTTTCCACAAAGTTTTCATCCCCACTTGGTGAGCTGCACGTTGGTTTTTTATGTCCAAGCAAAAAATAAAATCAGAGAACAAACTTTCCAGAAAAGTCAAAAGTTCATTCAACCAGAAATGATCACGTTAAGGGAAAGTAGCTAAAATTGAAAACAAAACAAGTCGTATGAGAATATATAAAATAACTTAAATAAGTCAAGGATCTCATCTTGTACCTGTGATGTGCACCAAAGTTTAGGTCACCATGGTAAATTCCAGCACCCGAAAGCCAAGCAAAATGCACAGCTCTCCTTTGCTTTATAAAGAAGTGCAGTTCACTGCAAAAGGGCATATGGAATTATTTTTGTTATTCTGCAAATTCAATTAAATAGATTGCATGCATGAGCACATTTGCCCAACAAATGAAATGATCAAGTCTACTATGCACTTCTTGGTGGAAGTTGCTTAGTTAGATCTCAGATAGCACCATATTTATAAAAAAAAAACTTTTGTTAACTAGTACTACCTCCTTTTCCATCATTTGCAATGGAGCCAAAGATTCATTTTTTTGGCTTGAGATTATGATGGAATAAAGCAAAATGGCTCACTAAACTGTCTGCGCTTCTTGGTTATGGAGCAGCAGTCAATCCATGCAATTTTGGACGCGATTTTCACTATGGGTCATCCGGAAACAGTCTCTCTGTGCTTTAGTACAGGGGTAAGATTGCGTACATCCGACCCCCTCTTACCCCACCGTAGGTGGGAGCCTTTGCGGCACTGGGGTAAATGAAAATGATGAACTGGTACTACCTCCGTCCCACTAACATTGGGACATGAAAAGGTGGCACGGTTATTAAGAAAAGTGAGTTTATGTGGTTGATATGAAATTGATAAAGTAAGAATAAAGTAAGAATGATTTAGAGCCACACAACTTTACTAAATTTAGTATGGGACAATCTTAGTGAGACTTCCCGAAAAGGAAAATTGGGACAATCTTAGTGGGACGGAGGGAGTAATAAATTTGGTTTTTACAGTTGAAGATTTTATCAGTTAAACAATGCCAACCACTAGATGACTCAGTAAAATGAGTGCTAAGTGTCATTGGGGATGGTGGGAAATAGAATCTATAAATTACGGAGTAATAAATTACACCATTCAGTTCCACGTGTAAGTGAAAAGCAGAAAGTTAGTGAGACGAGGGTTATATGTAAAGAACGTGCCTGTTTGGTATTTCTCCGGGAAGTTCCATAAAATGAACGGTGCGGTCCACGTAACTAGCAAAAACAGACTGTGCAGATAGAAAATGATAAAAAACGTGCCAATTACATTGAAGCACAAAGCATGAAAACTATGCAAAAATGGGTGTGTGAGTCGGTGAGTGTGCACATATACGCAGATACAAGTATGATGAATATGATAAGTATAATTAACAAAAAACATAAAACCTCTAGTGAACCAATCCCGGTGAAAGAATACAAGCGTGTGGGAGTAACAGCCATCACATAATATCTAGTTCCATTGTTTACGCTAGCTGTTTCCATCTGCAAAGAAAGGTAAGACTATTATTTCACTTTATCCCTTTCGAAATCGAAAAGGAAAATACAAAAGTAAAAGTCTTCCCAGCTGCAGACCCTTTACGGAGAATAAAATAAGCAAGAACACGAGAAAAATAATATTTACAATACAATTTCAAGTTGTCAACCAAGAAGTGCTCCACAAACCCATGAAACTAAGCAAAAGAAACTTTGAAAAATAATAATTTCAAAGAGGGAGAAAAAACAATAAAGGTAGAAAAAAATAAACCTGCAAACCCATGAAAGACTCAGGTAGTTCCTTGAGTTCAAATAGCAACTTTATGTGTTTCTCCATCTTATCCTTTGCATCTACATACACCTCATAAAGTTGGCCGCTATCTGTCCCAATAATGACTTCCTTTGTTGAAGCTGCATAAACAGCAAATCGAATCAAGGCAGTGCATGGACTTCCTTCAGTGGAATTATGTATAAAAACAATTGAAACTGTCCCTAGTGCCTACCTTCAGTAATTTGCTGTCGGTTCCAAGCGACAACATTCACAAGAGACCCTTTTAATTTGCTTAAAATGCGAGGTTTAGCCCATTTTGCATGCATGTAATATGTATCCGCACCACCACTGCCAACAACTGTGGCAATACAGTGACTACCTCCAGGATCAAGAAAAACTTTATGAATAGACTGTTCCCCTGGTCTACCGGCATAAAGATCAATATCTGCATAAAGTTCATCAATGATGAACATTAACATGTACAATCAGCATATCCTCTTCATTACACAAGATGTTAAAAAACCAAATAAGCCTCAATGGTTCTTCCCTATTATGGGGCAAGGGATAAGCTCCAACCAAAACATTAAATTTTTAGCCAATGTATTGTCATGCCTTGTTGTTCAATTTTTAAATTTTGCTAAGTTTTAGCCAATGTATTATTCTAAAGGGAAAATACTGATAAGAATGGGATGGAAATTCCAAAACCGGGGGGCTTAAGCCACAGGGTGTAAGCTATATCACATATACATTTTCTTAAAGTTTAGCACCACCCTTGGGCGTACCGGTGTAAGACTCGAAAGCCTTTTAATACCTTTAGTATACTGCCAAGTAAATGCAGAGAAAATAGTATGCTCAGAATGAATTGTAATGCCAATCTGGAAACAAATAAAAATGTTCAAGCGAGGTATATTCAATTATTCTACCATAAAGTTTTGATACACAGACATGTATTAAAATCTGGATTAGATTCACATGAAAAATGATGATTCCATTTTTCACAAATTACATTTCTTTTTTCCTTCCATGTCAATTTCTTCAATTTCTGCAATTTCAATTACATTTCTTTAGCTCTACTTATTGCTAAATCGTGCATAATTACAAATCTTGCATTGAGGAAGCGGTCCAGCTCACTTGTCGTCGACCTCTGGGAGGTCATGTGTTCGAAACTCTATGGAAGCAGTTTTAGCCCTCTTTACCCCGGGACCTGAGCCCCTCCTTCCACTCCCCGGTAAAAAAATAGAAATCTTGAATGAAGTACGAAATAAAGAGAGTATAAATGCACATAAAACCAATAATACCATCAGAAGTGCCGACTCCAAAATCATGTCTGATCACCCATCCTTTGCTGGTACCCAGAACAGTGACATCGTTTCCCGCAGCCATACAGGTAATCTCTCCACGCCCCTTTGTGGCATACCGTTCGAGAAGATCTACAGAGAATACCCGCCGCTTTGACTCCATTCTAAAATTCAGTGAACACCGATCACTACAGAGCGAGAGAAATACGACAATACTAGTTAGTGGTCGACCAGAAGCATATCAAAGCAACACAGCATTGCTGTTAAATGCAGTAGTATAAACTGTAGTTCACGACTCCACAGTCTTGTAGAACTCGCCTGAGGGAGAGAATACCGAGCTATGGCGCCTAGAATAAGTCGCATTAATTGATCATAACGATAACGATATCGTGAAAATGCTGCACGGACCCATATATATACGATAGTATGTAGAAAGAGAAAAAGAATCGTCTTTTTTTTAATTTCAACATCATTTTACCCGGAAGAAAAAAGAACCGCCTTTATACTAAACCAGATCGAGACCAGGTGAGTAGAGATGCAGCTCCGTGGTGGTATCACACCCTTCTCAAAGTAACCGCACGTGAGAGTCTCGCCTCCTAATCCGTAGGCATGATGGACATGGAGGATTGGTGCCTGGAAGGCTTGGAGGTGATAATGTATTAGAAAAAATTGTCCTACATACGAATAAAACATACTATGGTATTAAAATTCCAAAACAAGTTTATTATTCCCTAAATAGGATTCGCAATTACTTTTTTACCTTTCATCTAATAAAATCCCAAAACACCTATTGATTTCAAGATATGCAGATCAATCGCGATTTGCGATGAAGACCCCAGGCCATCTGCGATGAAGATGCTTAAGCCGCACTCCGTCGACGACCTCTACTTCAATAGCCAAGGCAGGTATGTACTCTTCTTCCTCTTCCTCCTCCTCCTTCTCCTCTTCTTCTTCTTCATCCTTGTTCTCGCTTTCTTTTTTTTTAGTTTTTTATCAATCAAATTTTAAATAAAATTTTGAATTTTGAAAATTACAAATGAAGATATATCTGAAGATGAATTTCTTGTTATCAATTTTGATTAATTTGAATCTCAAAATGCCTTGACTAATGATTCCAGAAAATGCCACTTTTGAATAGGGAATGACATTATTATTGGGTATTTTTAAAATGTCACTTTTATGTCATTACAATATACTATCTATAAAAATGCCATATTGAGAATGTCATGTTTTTATACGTAATTTTCATTATTGTGTCATTATTGTTCACTTTCAAAAAATGTCACTTTTATGTCATTATAGCATTTGAAAATGTCATATTGAGAATGTCATGTCTCTGTACGAAATTGTCATTATTGAGTCATTATGCATATTAAGTGACATTCTCGCATATGAAGTGGCATTCATCATGAAGGTCTGCACAGACTCACTGAAGGGCAGATTTTTGTTGAAGAATGATGGCGGCGTACTAGCTGAGGGGTGGCGGTGGTGATAGACCTTATGGATGGTGGCAGAGGCGCCAATGGTGGAGTCGTCGACTCCAAACCTGCGCACATGGCACACCTGCGCAGCACAGGGGAAGGGGAAACTGCGCAGCACAGGGGAAGGGGAAACATGAGCAGCACCGCACCTGCGTAACTTTCTCATTAAGGGTATTTTAGTCAGTTTACCCCTTTTTAGTCCTATTTTTGTCCAATAAAACATTGTAGTCCTGTTTTTGCAATTGTATCTTCTTGTAGTCTTATTTAGGGAATTCATGTGATACTGGAACGGCTGGTTCAAGTCCCATGAATTAGTTAATGGGATCGATTCTATTGTTTTGCTTGGGGAGAAGGATCAAATATGACACTAAGGTATTTAATGAATCTCACATAGGACATTTAGGTTTTGACTGAACCAAATAAACACTAAATTGAACATATTCGCTTATTATGAGCCACCCACTAATCCTCCCGTTCTAACGCCCGTTACCCGTTAACCAGCCTCTTTCCCTGCGATTAAACTCACAATTCTCCCTATGTAACCCTAAGCGAATGTTCATGGTCTGTAAGTGCGAATTACCTGAGAAAGACGACAAGATGAAGCTTTACATTTACTGATGGACTCCGTTGAGACGCTCTAATGTACTACGTTCCGTGTTACTTTGACTGTAAAAATGAGTGGGTTGGTCAATCTGAGGTTTAATCATAGCGGGAGGTGGGTGTTCAAACCATTACAATACATTCACTACTAGAAAAAAACTTATTTGTTGCGGTCATTTTAGCTTATTTTCTGCGGGTATGAACCGCAGCAATTGAAGGGGCATCAAATTCGAAACTTAGTTATTTGCTGCGTTTAACAACCGCAGCAAATAAGTGCTCAAGAATTTGAAAACATTACTTATTGCTACGGGTCCTTGACAACCGCAGCAAATATATTATTTTCTACTACTCCCCTAGCGGCGGTTCTGACTTAAGTGCTAGCTGCAGCAAATTGTAAATAGACAACACCCCTACGTGTTTTTTGTAATAATTGCTCAGATAGCCAACTTAAAATATTTTACATAAAAAAAGCACACACGTGGCAGTATAAAGAAATCATACTTCTTTAAAGTTATTTAGTAAATGGCCAACAACCTCACTTATCAAATATTACACACACAAAAATACATATCCGATGCAACAAAACTTTAATCTTACAATACACTATTAATATACACGGCAAGTTTTACAATTAAAAAAACAGAATTATATCACTGCCCATGCATCTTGAACTTGAGAAATTTCATCCATGGAGAATGCTTCATCTATCATCAGTTTCAACTTTCAACCTAAAGTATTAAACAATTTCAGTTAATACTTTAACATATAACGTCACCAAGTATACATTTAAATTAATTATGGCATAATAACTTTATATTGAACATCTAAACATGAGCTGGCTTGGTTGAATAAGTGGGAGGATGCACCTTTGAGTACATGATCTTTTCCTAACCTGTTTTATCTTTCGTATATGTCCCAAAATTGAATCTACTTTCATCATCATCATCATCATTACCCCCAGTGCCACAAAGGCTCCCACCTATGGTAGGGTAAGGGGGGGTCAGATGTACGCAATCTTACCCTTGTACTAAAACACAGAGAGACTGTTTTCGGATGACCGATAGTGAAAATCGCGTCCAAAATTGAATCTACTTTCTATAAATAAATATCAATTGCTTTTTAGTTTTCCTGCTTAGACTGCATATATACTATATACCTTGGCATATGGCGGGCACATGTAAAATTACACCTATGTCAAAGTGTCCAAAATAAGCTCACATCTGTAGAAGAAATTCCAGCAGCGAAATAATCAATAAAAATAAGAATATGAAAACTCAATGCGTTTTCTAAAATTGGGATCATATCAATGCCTTGGGAAGAAAGTGTAAAAACTCGATGTTTGTTCAAACTTCAATAAAAAAGAAACTATCTAGTGCAATATGCAACTAGAAGGCGCAAATGCAACTGGTGCTTCCAACTTTGGTGCATCAAGTGTGTCATCAAAGAAAGGTCAACCTAATAATGTATGCTTTTGTGAATAAGCATAGTTATTATACTCAGAGAAAAATAACTTTCATTACTCAAATTCATACGGAGATTTTTGCAAACACATAGCATTCAAAGTAAAGGATGGGGATAAAATGAACCAAACAACATCCTGAAACTGTGAGTATATGACATTAACATCTGTTCCCAAAAATACACACTACAAATATACAAATAATATGTACAACAACAAATCACTTTGTACAACAACAAATACACATTACAAATATACATAAAAGTAAATAACTTAACTTGAAGTGAGAGGAGAAGAAATATTGGATGGAGCGGCGTTGTTTATAAGCGGAGGCGGTGGCGTCGTTAGGCGGAGGCATTGTTTGGCGTTGTTAGGCGGCGACGTTGCTGGGCAAAGATGGTGTTAGACGGAGGCACGATGTGGCTGGATGAGTGGCGGAGGTGCTAGGAGACCGATGCGGTGTGAGGCTGCGTAGTCGGTGTGTTGCTGGGAGGGGCAGAGGAGGCGGTTAGCAGCGCTAGATGTGGCGGATAGCTATTGGAGGCGGCGGAGGCTGCTGATGGATGGAGACAGCGGACGCTTGCGGCGGGAACGAGTTAGTTGGTCGGAGGAGGTCAGCGGATCTGCGGATGTGGTTTCTGGCTTTAACGCACAGGTTATCTGCAATCTTCCTACTTATTGATGCAACAAAAAGTATATAAAATTAATTTTTAAGATGCAGTTGCTGCGGTTCCATTGCGAACGTAGGAAAAAGTGTTGATTTTTTGCTCCAAATGCTGCGGGTTCATTATGACTGCAGCAAATACGTGCATTTTCAAACAAATTGCTGCGGATTATAAAATAACCGCAGCAAATAGGGTGCAGCAAATGACAAAAATTGTAGTAGTGATTAATGGGGATGTGGATACGATATATGGATTTGACCCTGATTATTTGTATTTTCATGGTATATCTCGGAATTACAAGGATGATTTGGGTTTTAAAACTCTGAAAAACAGTTATGTTTTAGAACTTGGGAAAGATATGGAAAATGGTTTGTTTTTAGTTCAGGATGATGACACAATTAGGAAGGTGCTAAATCGTATTAGAAGTTACTCTTGGGTTGATGATATTGAACTGTATGCTGATCATCAACGGGATGAAGTGTTCATAACCGAGGAATTTCCATCCATTAATGGGAGGCTTTGAAGATTGAATGGGTGGGATGACTGCAGATGAATGGACAGAGATGGAGGAGAGTTTTCCAGATGAGGATGGAAGGACTAATGAAACAACGGAGAGTGTGGAGAGTGGAAGGTGCGAGAATATGGAAGGAGTAATGAAACAACGGAGAGTGTGGAGAGTGGAAGGTGCGAGAATATGGAAGGAGTAATGAACGGACGGAGAGTGTGGAGAGTGGAAGGTGCGAGAAAGTGGGTAAGGTAATAAATGTGGACGGGTGATAATAAGTGGAAATGTGGGTGGAGTTATTAATTACGAGGGTAGTGAGGTAATTTCAGGTAAAACAACATTTCCTAATATAGAAAGTGGAAGTTTTAATTGGAACGGACGAAAAAGGAAAGTTGGAAGTTTTTTAAGGAACGGAGGGAGTACTATTTATAATACCAAGGTGTAAGTGATGTTGATGATGTGGAGGATTGTGAGTGGCTAGCTTCCCAACCACCAAATCTACTGCATTAAATGTGCTTCCCGCCAATGGTCTGGACGAACGTCCTCTTGGCCTTGGGTTCTGGACCCCAATGGGAACACAGGTGGGGCTCCGCTCAGCCTAAGTCGGTTGTTCTCCCTGCGGCCCTCTGGATCATCGTCTAGCTCCACCGAGCCAAGGACATTGACACCGAGCGTCTTTGTTAGTAAGACGAAACGTCCATATGACGTCTTGTCAGACCGTGCCTAAATTGAGCCTTGATGGTTTTCCTGCAAGGGATAATGGACCGCTCCCCTGTCGGACCTATTAACCCAACAATTATTTTTGTGAGATTTTTAGTAATTGTTAAGTTTTAGTGATGGCGCGGGAAAAATCTTAAAAGAAAATTGTGTATAACTGTTTGATAAAAGCCTTGTTTGGTAAATGGCTGTTAGTTGTTGTTGTTAGCTGGTTGTGTCAGCTGTTTCGTAACAGCTGGTTGTGTTAGCTGTTTTGACCAACTGGTTATGTTAGCTGATTATAAATAACTGTTTGAAAAAATTGGTTGTTTCGAAATGGTTGATAGAGTGTAAATTGAACCAGCCAAATGAAGAAGTTGCTCCCCTTAGCTTCTTCCATCATCCATTTTTTCAGCTTTTCAAACTCAACAAGCTAATTTTAAAAGCCATTTACCAAACATTATTATTAGCTTCTTTGACTAATCAAACAGCAGAAATGGGTCAAACAAGCTAAAAGCTGGCTCATAAGCCATTTGCCAAACATACCCAAAAAGTTCATTGCTTGATGAGGAAATTGCCCTAAATAAGACTTAAAACATTTGTGTATTATAAAATAGGATTTTCATGTTTTTATTCCACAAATAAGAGTAATTACTGCT